CATGAACTCCAATAGTAATGCATGAACACCAATAGTAATGCATGAACTCCAATAGTAATGCATGAACTCCAATAGTAATGCATGATCTTCCACTTTCCATACAATATTTACATTGTCGTTCAGTGTATCCCCCACAATGAACTGCAAGTTTACATCTACTTCATCTGAAGCGAGTCATGCATGGCCTCAGATGTAGAGTGATGGAGAGTGTAAAATATTGTTTTTTTATATTCAACAGGGATTTAAAATGCTTATAGTAAAATTAATCATATATACTGTTATATAGAACTACACCATGAGTGAGTGAGTTAAGTTTTACGCCGCACTCAGCAATATTCCAGCTATATGGCGGTGGTCTGTAAATAATCGAGTCTGGACCAGACAACCCAGTGATCAACAGCATGTGTCAACCAAGTCAGCGAGTCTGACCACCCGATCCCGTTAGTCGCCTTTTACAACAAGCATGGGTTACTGAAGATCAATTCTAACCCCGAATCTTCGCGGGTCAGACTAAACCATGAGGGATGAAGTTTGCCCAAAAAAGTCATTTATATAAAAAGATGAATAAATATCTTCACATTGCCATCAGTGTGTTTAACCATTCATATCCAAATCCAAGTTCAAACATTTTTTATATGAGTTGCCCATGCGACAAGTGTGGTCCAGTGATTTGAGCATTAAATGACAATGTTGATCAGGCAATCTGTGATCATCCAAATTCCGTATTTGATATAATATTTGACAGCATTTGTGGTATTCTTGTATACAGAAGTCACTCCACCACACTCTCCCCAAACCATAGCATTGTTGTTTTCTTTTATCCATTTAAAAAAACAACAACCTTTGATATATTTTATGCCGTGCATCTTTAATAATTTTACAAAATACATTGTTCCAAACGTCTGCACCATACCATCTTATAACTATCATTAAATATATGATATAAATTTTGAGAGGTTATATTTCTTTTTATATCTGTACAGTGCCATAATAGCGTCGTTACTCTGTCTAACAAGTGTATTTAGCGTCTCAGTTCAAGCAAGTTTAGGTGAGGTGAAATTGGGTTTAACGTCGTGCTTGAGAATATTTCGCGACGTGCATGCATGTGTATGTGCGGCTGCTAGACTACTACTTAAGCTGGTTTTATAGTGCTAGCCCACTGAGATACCATGCCGCAGTGATGCATGAATACCCCACTCAGACACATTATACTGACCCCAAGCCGACAGGGAGGGGACCAACAAATACCATATTTTAAAGTCTTTTGGTATGACGCAGGCGGGGATCGAACCCGCGATCTTCCGCTCTCCGGGCGGACGCTCTAACCACTACACCACGGAGGCGGTCTAGCAAGTTTAGGTGTGAACGCAGTACGTACATACATGAGAAATATGTACAAGCCCTTGATGTATGCTAAGAAAAACTAGAACACTGTGAGAAACACCTATAAGACTACGCCTATAATATTATTCCATTCGCTGCCATTGTGATGACTTGCAATATGTACCAACATCCGATCACAAATACATTTGTAGGACTATAGTTCGTAAACGTAAGTGTAAAATAGTATTTGCATAAGGACCAAGCTGCTAACCTTATATCCTTACTTGTTGTTAACATTCTGTCACCAGACAATACTGTTCATTTAGTTCTCAGTACCCAGTACCATTGGAGATGTGCCTATTGCATGTGCATTATTATCATTATTGCAATATGAATTGTAACTTGTATACTGGCCTCTGGCCTATTCAGAAATAAATTCAATCTTGATAATCCCTGTGATCTGTGAGCTGGAGTCTAGGATACGGTGACAGCAAATTTGGATACGTTATTCAACGGGCAGTACAGTGTGTCTATAAATATTGACACGCCACAGAATAAGTCCCCACCCACTCGGATCCGATCATTGCGCAACATTTATAGACGTGTGGTATGATACATACCAACATGAAACACACATCCTGGTTCTCACAACAGCGATTATCCTCAGTGCCACGTCTCTTACACATCCACTGACTCACTGCTAGATCGAGCCATTCATCAAGCCATGTTTCCGACACTCCCTTGAGTGTCACACATAAATAGTTCTATCAGTATAAACGCGTACATGAAATGTGGGTTCATGGCAATATAGGAATGAATAACTGAATGTTGAGCTTACAAATCTAATGTGTTCAAAATTGATGACCACTACCAACCCAGAACAAAAAGGGTGAACCTAACCTCTCTTGAAGTCACATCACACACGCACACGCACACGCACTCGCGCGCACTCACACGCACGCACATGCACACACACCACCCCAAAGCCATTAATTATGAACGGTCCCTTAGTGCGTGATGAATGAGTGAGTGAGTAGTGATGAACTCTGGGTAGCGTGTTTAATGCATGATGAACTCGCGTGTTGAATGAACGTGATAAATGTACGGTAGCGGGTTATGCCCTCCGTATCTATGCTTAGAAAACAATGTGCGTGGGGGGGTGGGGTGTGGGGGGAGTGTTCAAGGTAAACAAAATCGATAAAAAATGCATATATTTCAACAGCAACGTATCTAATCCTAGAAGGGACATTGCCACGTAGTCGCATTGTCGTGTTGTCGCCCTCACAAAAACAAGCAAAAAGTGGCAAAATTTATCGAAGGCCAAGAACTCGAGAACGCGACAATGTCCCTTTTAGGATTACAGTACAACCAGAAATTACTGAGAATTTAAGATTGTATTATTTTTTTTTCACTCATTACTCACGTATGGAATGTGAATATTAGCAGAACATAACTCCAGATTCAAAGACAGGTGAACAGTTAGTATTTTGTCAAGTCACAATGGGCAGCAATGCAGGCTTCAATGCGGCGGGGCATACTACTGATCAAAGAAGTTAGAAAGTCGTGGTCCATGCTGTCCCAATATCGGACCACCTCTTCTTTCATTTCAGCAATATTTGTCAGATTTTTCTTATTGACACTTTCCTTCATAAATCCCCAAACATTTTCTATTGGATTTAGGTCAGGGCTATAGCTTGGCCAATCTAATAATGTCATATGTTGGGTCCGAAACCAGGCCTGTGAATGCTTTGAACGATGTTTTGGGTAAGATGGAAGTAAATGTCCCTCGAGAATATCTGTGTACCGTTCACTGTTCTTATTCCCTTCAAATACACAGAGGGGCGTTGCCCCTAACACAGATATGCCACCCCACACGTTAAATTTCGGACTGTACTTTGGGCGCTGATACAAAGGTTTTTCAGTTTGTTTGGTCCAGAATTCCAGTGTATTAGGAAACAGCCACACAGAACTTTCATCTGAGAAAATCACATTGTCCCAGTTAAAATTTCTATGCTGTAAGCACCAGTTCAACCTTCGCTCCTTTTTGCTGAGGTTTCATGATCGGTGATGGAATTCCTCGACTTTTCTGCCAGCCAATTGCATGCAGCACAGTTCTAATTGTCTCCTTACAGACAGCCACAGTTCCTCTATCAATCATATCCAGCCTTAAGTTTTCGAAACTCCTTCGTTTGTTTTTAGAAACAAGAATACCAAGCCGCCTCCTGTCACTGACAGTCAATTTTCTGGGCCTACCTGCGCCTCCCTGGTGCTCAATGCTATATCCATTTGCAATATTTTTCAAAACACGATAAACAGTGGATAAAGGGATGCCTGTTCTATTTGAAATCACTTTAGTTGATTTGATGTCCTTGTTAAAATACTCTACTTCCCCTTCTCTAAATCATCCATACTGAGGATCACTGAAAATGTCGTCTGCTAGCATGATCAAGGTTGTATATACTAGAAATCCAATTAGAATATTCCTAAAATTTTCAATAATTTCTGGTCATACTATGCATAGCAACGGGAACAGTTGAAAGAAATATGTTTCTTATTTCACGTCTGAATGATAGAACGAACCAAGCATGTCGTTCAGGGTGATGACATTGGCGACCGGTGACATCACAACGTGCATTCATACCGTTCAAAACCACATATTTGCATTCGCGCTCTGTTACTTGAATAGAATTCCTATCGTCACCAGGTGCATTCAGTTGGAGTGTTTGCACTTTGATACAACACGAAAGAAAGGTAAATCCTGGCTTGGTTTGGGGCGGTATAATTTGTCGCGATGCATATCTGACACCATTGAAACGTTGCATTCAACGTTAGTCTTGGGCAGAGTTCAAGGATGCGATCGTATCCAGTCTCCCTCTCTGATGCTCATTATGTCATCACTGGATTGTCACAATCGCAGGCCGCATCATATAACTTGACAACGTTGTATTCAACACGCTAAACATATAAATTTCATGTTTTCGCCTTTCGATATTTTTACAGACCACGTCATATACATCTGGGGCTGGGATGGGCGGGTTTGTCTTCCCGTCCTCACTGACGTCGTGTTAAATATAGATCGCCATTGCGCAGTATTGGGATTCCCTACGTTAAAATAGACCAGTTGCTAAGTAAACAACCCTGGATCTCGTTCAGCACATTAATCTAGGTCCATTGTGGTGTAAAACGCCCCTTGTGAGATTCCGGTCGGAACTGAGTTCACTAGTCCATGCAAGTCACCACTTCCGATCAAGAAGAATTGGACGGCTGCAATGTGTAACCTAGCTGTTTACGATATAATCCTTGATTGGTTATACTTTTGTTCGTTATTGGTTGTTGTTGTGTGTTTCTTTCTTTTTTCTTTTCTTTTCTTTTTGTTGCTAAACGCCACACTCAGCAATATTACAGCTATATAGCGGCGGTCTGTATTTAATCCAGTCTGAACCAACCAAACCAGGGATCAACATCATGAACATCTGTGTTGGGTGTAGGATGAGAATAGGGTTCGTTTGAAGAGCAGAACTCACAAACCAGTCGCAGTTTTGATCTGCGGAACCACTATCTTTCAAGTCAAATGTTCTCGTCACGATATGGCTGCAATATTGCCGATGTGACGTTAAATAATAACTCACTCACTCACTATCTTTCAAGAATCGATTATTCAAATTTCGCCTAAGTGCTTGAATAATATAGTGCTACGACACGCGTGTATTCAGGATGTACGACCTATTATAACCCAGTTCAACGTGCATGACGTGTATTTTCCCAGCTATTTATAGCGCTAAATCATATATATATATTATTCAGCTGTGAACAGCGTAATGTTTCGTTCCATAGACAGTTTCTAAAGAAACTAGGCAAGTGTCGGGGTCACCTGTTTCTAAAGAAACTAAGCAAGTGTCGGGGTCCCCTGTATAGCAGCCAAGACCTGGTTGTATGTCACATATAGCCCGTGTCTTTCCCCTTGTGATGGACGTGTAGATCGGATCTCTCCTCCACCTAGCGAGACCTGGAGAGCGCACGAACCACGCTCTAGGGCGGGCCATGTCGGGATGGATGGGCCCAAGGACTGTCACGTTGATAATGTTGATGACTGTCGGCCTGCGCGTGGTCGCAGGTAAGTGAAACAATTTCAAACTGAAAACAAACAGCTCAGTGCTGGTTCAGTGAATCTACTGGATGGGGTTGGGGTGACGATGATTTATTTATTTATTTACTATTTATATACATATATTTATTTTATGTTTTATACATGTGTAAGCCCGGCTTTTTATTATAATGGTAGCTACGCCCCTGACACACATTGCGTGTCAGCGTGACATGTGTTTCAACCGTACAGGTATTGTGTTGGGATTAGATCTTTTGTGATTGTCCTTGGTTTAAAATGTCAGCGTGACTTTTATCTGTGCGGGTCGTGTCAGCGTGACATGTGTTTCAACCCTACAGGTATTGTGTTGGCATTAGATCTTTTGTGATTGTCCTTGGTTTAAAATGTCAGCGTGACTTTTATCTGTGCAGGTCGTGTCAGCGTGACATGTGTTTCAACCCTACAGGTATTGTGTTGTGATTAGATCTTTTGTGACTGTCCTTGGTTTAAAATGTCAGCGTGACTTTTATCTGTGCAGGTCGTGCATTTCCTACATGAACTGGCCCTCTCTGCCGATTCTCACAGCGATTCTCACTATTTTATGTCACGGTTTCATTGAAAGTTATTCTCATTCTTTTTGGGCGGTAGGGTAGCCTAGTGGTTAAAGCGTCCGCTCGTCACGCCGAAGATTCAGGTTCGATTCCCCACATGGGTACATTGTGTGAAGCCCATTCCTGGTATCCCCCGTGATATTGCTGGAATATTGCCAAAAGCGGCGTAAAACCATACTCACTCACTTACTCTTATTCTTTTTTCTCAATATCTATTTTAGGATTTCTTTTTGTAGGTGATAACAATACTTATCATTTATATTAAACACTTATCCGTGACATAAACTTATGGCATAAAAACGTGTTACTTTTGTAAATGTAGGAACATTTGGTTCATGGAAACGTTAGCAAGTAGTATTGGGACTCAGTTTATATGTTCCGTCTTTCTTTAGCGATGTTTTAATTGTGTTCCTTGATTTGCTCTATGGACTTTGAGCACAATTGAGTGAGTGAGTGAGTGAGTTTAGTTTTACGCCGCACTCAGCAATATTCCAGCTATATGGCGGCGGTCTGTAGATAATCGAGTCTGGACCAGACAATCCAGTGATCAACAGCATGAGCATCGATCTGCGCAATTGGGAACCGATGACATGTGTCAACCAAGTCAGCGAAACTGACCACCCGATCCCGTTAGTCGCCTCTTACGACAAGATAGTCGCTTTTTATGGCAAGCACATGGGTTGCTGAAGACCTATTCTACCCCGGATTTGAGCACAATTGAAGCTGAGCTTCGTGTTCTCATTATTCAGACTAGTTTCCAAATTAAAATAAATTTAGTAAGATCTGGATAACATTTGCCACGGGCGCCGTACGATAAAGTAGTCAACGGTTTTCCATGCGATTATTTTAGGCATCGTGGGTGACCGCGGGCTAGGACATTTGTGTTCACATTGTCTACGGGCACCGTGCGATTTCCCTCTGGTTGGTTGATGTTTGTTAAGGAGACATTTACAAATGATGCTTTCTTTTGAGAAGCCATTGCTGGAAAAAAAATCTTACATTTCTTCCAAGTCAAGCAGTCGATGAAAGTAAAAATTCCCGAGAATTTATAAATAATGTGAATATATTTAGCAGCGTTGACCAACCAGAGGGCATGCTACGACCACACCCCCGTTTCGTGCGGATATATCGTCATCCATTTGTGTCAAGATCGTTTAGTTGAGAGTCAAAATCGGGTTTCAATCGACTTGCAGAAATACCAATAAAGAATTGGTAGGTGTCATGAGTGGTGCTCGATAGGCCAATCATCCATGATTATGTTTCCATTCAGTTTTATTTGATTGCTTGCGATGGTAGCATAGCGATCGGCAAAGCAGTCGGGTGGGGTGCACCGAAGTGTCCGGCCTTGTCACGGTGTATTGTACTGTGAAGCATTTTGAGTCGGGGGTCATCTCAAAAACAAAATATTTTAAATAATTAATCCTCACAAAGACACGAGGGCCTGTGTATGACGGTTCTGTTAAGATGTCGCACTGCACATGATGAAATAGCCAGACGGGAACGATAAATTCGTCACGAATATTGCCTGTATTACGACACTATCAAATGTCATTAATAGATCATTGGGTGCAAGGCCACAGATTACACAAGGGCGTGGGGATAGTTTCAAAAGCAGAACTCACAAACCATTCTTAGTTTCTCAAACCACCTGCGCAAACCACACACTCACAGACACATCGTTGCTCAAAACATCGACCATCGGCTTGTTGGGACTCGCTTATTTACAGACCGCCGTCCTGTTGCTGAATTAGTGCCGGATACGTAAATATTAGACCAATAAATCTACCGATTCTCTTTTACTAGTAAGCTCGTTCACCTCTGTGACATAAATGGGTGAGTGAATTGTTTTATGCCGCTTTGAGCATTATTCCATGGTAAGGTGCATCAGATATGGGATTCACACATTGTACCCATGTGGGGAGACGAACCCAGATCTGCGGCGAGACAAGTGAACGCTTTAACCGCTAGGCTACCCCACCGCACCTCAGTGGCAAAAACTACGTTACATGACCGAGGCTCACAAGGGAGGATTAGGCGGCTCCTCTGTAGGACGAATTGCGGGGCCTTAGACCACCGGTAGGCCATTTCGGTACATTGTTGAAAGTTTTAGAGGAGGTTGGGGGGGGATTGTCTTCAAATATGTTTGCACACTGGTGATATTGTAAATGAAGTGGCCACTTACTTTGTACTTAAAGTTGTTGTGGGTTTGGGGTTTTTTTTGGGGGGGGGCATTTATATTGTATATGCTCCGCCATAAAATCATCAGCTCGCATGCGCGCGTGCGTGCACACACACACACACACACACACACACACACACACACACACACACACACACACACACACACACACACACACACACACACACACACACACACACACACATACCAGCCATAAATTATGAACGGTCCCTAAGTATCCTGTGAACGGTCAATACCTTATATCTCAGTGATTCGAGTAGACCAAGATAGTGTTCTATTATATACATCACACGTTATGAATAGCTATTGTTTCACTCTACAGGTGAAGTTTGGGAACTCAATACGACACGACTATCACCATACTTGATGCGGATAGACTGCTCCTTGAACAAAGGATTTCAACCAGATGACAAGATAAGAATAGTGCAACCCCCAAACAATGGAACGAGGACCACCTGCCGATTTCCATCAAAATGTATATTAAATGATCGAAATGATAGCGTCTTTTATGGGCAACGGAATACAACGTTATCCATAATCTTCACACCAGAGAATAGTGGTCTGTACTCATGCATTTACAACGAGGACCATGGCGCCATTGCTTCAGGTTGGGTCACTGTGCAGGAACCAACAGGTACGTGGGAAACCTCCATAGACTTGTAGAATGTGCAGTCTTGCTTTTATTAAAAACTTTCTGGTGTCCCCCGCCGTGATATTGCTGGAATATTGCTAAAAGCGAGTCAGTCATTAAAAACTGATCATCGGCAATTATCCTTCCTCTTATGGTAATAGATGGTTGTTTGTTGCTTGTTTAACTTGAAGTTCGCACTCAACAATATTCCAACAATATCCATATTTTCCTTATCAACTCACTAAACCAAGCCTATTTACAGGGAGATGTCTCCACCAGTCATCTATACCAAACAAAGATAAAGCCCGAGAATACATTAAAAACTATCGACCTATCTCCCTTTTGAATATATCTTACAACATAGCATCGGCAGTAATCGCCTCTCGAATTAAAAAAGTCCTTCCAAATATCATAAGCGAAGATCAAAAAGGATTTATGAAGCGTAGATATAATGGTGATTGCACCAGACTAGTATCCGATATAATGGACTACATTGAACTTTTGAATATACCAGGCATTTTGATACTCATTGATTTTAAAAAGCTTTCGACTCTGTTGAATGGAAATTTATCGAGACATGTTTAGAATTTTTTAACTTTGAACCTTCAATTACAAAATGGGTAAAGAGTTTCTATAACGATATCAAATCAAGCATTCTTGTTAACGGTTTCTCCTCAGACTTCTTTAACTCAACAAAAGGATGTAGACAGGGTGATCCACGTTCGCCTTACTTATTTTTATATGTGCAGAAATTCTAGCTCACATGTTAAGGGAAAATACAAATTTGCAGATGACACAACAATAATACTTGGTGGATCAGAAAAGGTCTTTCAGGCAACAATTGATATACTTAAAAAATATGCTTCCTTTTCTTGACTCAAAATAAACATAGCAAAAACAAAAATAATATGGATAGGTTCTAAACACTTATCTAGTATGAAATACACAATGCCATGGAATCCCAAATATAACATATGTTACTTATCTAGTACACAATACGGTAAATCCATGAACTTAGACTGGTCGCAAAGACCATTTACTTTACTTGGAATTACCTTCCAAAACGACAAGGCAGAAATGGCTGAACGAAACTATAAAGATAAATTAAAGATCTTAACCCAAACAATGACAATGTGGTCCCGACGGCACATGACACCATTCGGCAGAATAACAGTCCTCAAGAGTTTAATTTTACCTTCCCTAAACCATCTTTTCACCATGCTTCCTAATCAAAAAATGAATATAATAAATGATCTACAAAAAAGATGTTTTAGGTTTGTGAGGAAGGATAAACCTGATAAAAAAACGTACTACTGTAAAACAGACATATGAAAATGGTAGACTTAATGTACGCCTCATTTTGGAAACAATACAGTCTCAAAAGATCTCTTGGTTAAGAAGAACATATACAATCCATACAAAAATAAAAACACTCATAGATATTAACATTCAAACAGAAACTTTGTTTCCAACCGAGATGGGAAATAACTATCTGCGCAATTTTATTCTTCCCAAAATACCCAATCCTTTTTGGCGTGATTTCTATGAAGCATGGGCAAAATTACAATCACTACAAGGACACGATATGGCATATACACCAAAACAATTTATATGGGCAAATGACAATATAACTACTGCTAAGAAATCTATAATATATAGACACTATTTAAAAGCAAATGTTAAATTCATCGATGGTTTACTCAAGAGTGACGATGTTTTTTAAAAGTTTGATGAGTTTACAACTGAATACAACGTAAAGACAAACCCTTTAGAATACGCACTCCTGCTTAATACACAACTTAGATGGCTACAAATTAAAATTATCCAGAGAATTCTGACAACAAATAAAGACCTATTGAACTATAATATTATATCACATTCATTGTGTTCTTTCTGTGATAAGGAATCAGACACCATTATTCATATGTTATATGAGTGCAAACATATTAAAACGTTGTGGAAGCAATTAACAGATTGGATAGACATTGAAACTGGCACACAATTAGAATTGAACGTAAAACACATATTTTTTATATGAAAAAAGAAGAAACGACGTCTTAAATCTAATTTTAATGTCCACAAATCAATTCATCTATGCAAACAGATATTTAAAATCTATCCCTACCATAACGGACTAAAGCGCCATCTACATACAGTACCTTATATCAGGGAAATAAATGTGCAGCATACTCAGGATGCCAATACACGAGTTTTTGGTCTTTTTTATCTTCATGTCATAACCTCTTCATATGATAAATTTGAACTACTCATCAATCCTTGGTTGCCATGTGAAATCCCCTTAACATTAAAGAAAATACTTAATGTTTCTTTTCATTCGATGTTCGCCAATGTACAAATGAAAATATATCATATACACTACTATATTATATGAACATGTATCTCAAACTATTCACTTGATTGCGTCTATAATCATGTAATACCCTGTACCTTTCAAAAAGAAATAAAGTGATAAAAAAATCGGTTCCCAATTGCGCAGATCGATGCTCATGCTGTTGATCACTGGATTGTCTGGTCCAGACTCGACTATTTACAGACCGACGCCATATTGCTGGAATATTGCTGAGAGTGGCGTAAAACTAAACTCACTCACTCACTCACACTGTGATATTTAATCTAACAAGTGCAAGCTGGAATATCATGTAACAATTACATAATGTTCATAATTATCATTTGTACGGCAACGTGAATTCCTATACTGAAAGCATTTACATTGTGTAAGCCTTAAACACGTGTGTTGTGCCCTTAAACGTACAGAAGGTTTTAAGTCCTGTTTAAGAAGGCAGACGGAAGAGAAAATGCGTTTCATTTCCTACCAGTCCCCCGGAGCCCTTGACGCGCCGAGGAAGCGGCCCATATTGAAATAGGAGAGAGAGTGAATCAGACTTTTCCGTCAAGAGGGGTGGTGTGTGTGTGTGTGTGTGTGTGTGTGTGTTTGTGTGTGTGTGTGTGTGTGTGTGTGTGTGTGTGTGTGTGTTGGTGTTGGTGTCTCTGCAAAAGCCTATTTAAGTAGAGTGACCGCTGCAATGAGTGGGAAAGGAAACTTTTGGATCTGTGCATTTGACAATATCATGAAAAAGATTTCATCAAAACCACCAAATTAATCACCTTGGAGTGATATTAAGTTAGGAAAAGAACTGAGAGCGATTTTTAACTGCCAATCATTAAACCCTTACAAGACTTCAACAAAAGTTTTCAAACACCCTTACAGTATGGTATCAATTCAGAGAACAGGCCTTACGCAGACATATAAGCTGGTCGAGGTGTTGCCATAGTGTTTCTTTTGGGGATCCTTAATATTTGTATCTACGGCTTCATACCAGAAACTTGTTTTTTCGCCATTTGATGGGATTCCGATACAAGAACCAAATTCCTGAAATATTTGTAGCCATTTGTTGCTTCTCTGGAGCATAAATCTCAAATATGTTTTCAGAGTTATTACTATTAAAAGTGATAGTAAATGAAGTTTGTAGTTCCCTTTTAGCCATAGGGTAGCAATAACCTGGCCTAGGTAACCTTTCCTATGAAACCTTTCCTACATTACATTCCTATTGGAGTTGACCCGCTTTTGACATACGTGGAGATAGCTTAATTAGATTTGGGACTTAAATATGTATTGTATTATTATTTAGTTGGTTGACAAGGGAGGATGTTACTGTGTTTGGTCGGATTGCTATGAAAAGTTAGGATAGAGCAAAGAGATTTCAGCGTTACCATGGACATGATCATAATTCTGATTATTTTAGATTATTTTAGTAATTTCGACACTGTTACCAAGCATGTCCTGTGCTGTTACAAACAACAGTATGCTTCTAAAGGTTTAGCTTTTTTCATTTCAAATACTTGTATAGAAGATGCAAATCATAGTATTAAAAGTTTACAGATAATGTTGTTTTAGGTGTGTTAATCAGTGGTAATCAAGAAATGAACAAGAGAACTGTATCTACTACCGAAATAACTCTGTATAACTATTTCAGACACGACGACGCCCCCCCGCGACCCCAGCACTGCAGTCGGTCTAGATACGCCTTCAACGGCAGAACACGGTGAGGTGATTTTCTAGCTACTAACTTCACAAGATGAATGTTAAATCTTTATTACATGTTAGTAATTATGTCTCCCCCGAAGAATCGGGAGATATATTGTTTTTGGTTGAGTTTCAGTCGGCGTCGGCGTTCCCATTGTTTCCGGAACATAACTCTAAAAATACTTGAACAATCTTCACCAAATTTGGTATACTGCCTCTCCATATTATGTAGATGTGGGGGTTTGAGGGGTTTTTTCAAAAAAATTCTGTTTTCATGGCAACAAGTTGGACTTTGTCATTTTGAAGGGTAAAGTTCGTTTCCGCAGCATGATTCTGAAACTATTTGACCCATCTTCACCAAAGTTGCTATACTGCCTCTCCATATCATGTAGATGTGCATTTTGGGGGTTTGAACTGTTTTTTTCTGTTTCACTTATTGATCATATTTATGAGAGAGATACAACATACCGAAGATCTGGTGTTGTTCCATGCTACTACAGTTTCCATGATATCACCTATCTTGTTCTTGATTAGATTCCAGTGATAAGTTACATCCGTAACTGAATGTGATAAAATTATATTTTGATTTCAGCATTTGTTGATTTTTTTATTGACTAGAGACAACTCTGTGACTGAAAAACAACAGATTCATTCATGCATTTCGAAATAGAATCATTTAGAATTCTGAATGTTTCGTAAAGTATAACTGTGGAGTTGTTGATTTGTTGATAAGCAATTAAGTTCAATTGAATATAAAAAATTCAGTGAAGACTTTACAAACATAATAACATACTATCAATAATATGTTTTTTCATACTTAGAGATTTTGAAATTGAAGGAATCAACGTTGAATTGGGGGATAGGGGAGACATCTGTTTTTACGAGTACAAACACTTTCTAGTTACAGAAGCGACCACAAACCTCACTGGAGACTCCAGTACTGACGAGAAAGCTTTTATAACATCAAGCACAGGTGATGATACTCACATACTTACAGGTCTACAGCACGGTCGTTTGTAATTATCTTGTGGCTGGGTTCACGTCAGGCTATTCTCAGCAGTTGCGTCCCTTGTCGCTAACAGAATACGCTAATTGCAATCTTGATTGATCGTGATGCTAGGTATGTCAGAAGAATCCTATGAGAATGTGGTTTCGAATTCATCATGGACCCAACCCAAGCCAGTACTAGAATCTGTAATATAAAGAGAATGTAGCCTAGTGTTTAAGCGTTCGCCCATCACGCGAAGACCCGGTTCGATTCCCCATATGGGTACAATGTGTGAAGCCCATTTCTGCTGACGTTGCTGGAATACTGCTAGAAGCGGCGTAAAACTAAATTCCGTCACTCTAAAGAGAACCTGTGATGCCAGTTATAACATATGTTACATCTGACCCCTTTCTAAAACATGGGCGGTAGGATAGGGTAGCCTAGTGGTTAAATCGTTCGCTCATGACACAGAAGACCCGGGTTCGATTCCCCACATGGGTACAATATGTGAAGCCCATTCCAGGTGCCCCCACCGTGATATTGCTGGAGTAATGTTAAAAGTGGCGTAAAACTAAACTCACTCACTGACGGTTAGAGCCGTTTGCGGGGCCATAGGACCTAGTAATCTTATCACCTGATGCAGTAAGTGTGGGGAGTCATCTTCTTGGGTAAAATATTATTGACAAATAGTAACCTCGATGTGACATTCCTCACGCGCTCTGTTTCAGAGACACCTGCAGCTGCGAGGGGCTTCAGCCAATCTGAACCTGGCATTTGGGTCACGTGTCTTGGACTCATCGTCTACCAGTGCGCATAACAGCAGATAAGCAGACAAAAAGCCAACACGTTGTGGATGTTTAACTAAATGAATGAGTCACTCTGATTTCACATAATTACCATATTTTGCCATATGTGAATGCATTTAAGAGAATTCACTCTTCTATTGAAATGGGTCAATTCTCACTCTGGGGCGGTGGGGTAGCCTAGTGGTTAAAGCGTTGGCTTGTCACGCCGAAGACCCGGGTTCGATTCTCCACATCATTACAATTCTGGTGACCCCGCCGTGATATTGTTGGAATATTGCTTAAAGCGACGTAGAAAATATACTCACTCACTCAGTGACTCTGTAAATAATCGAATCTGGACCGGACAATCCAATGATCAACAGCATGAGCATCGATCTAAGCAATTGGGATACAATTGCGTGTGTCAGCGAGTCGGACCACACGATCCCGTTAGTTGCCTCCTTCGACAAGCATGGGTTGGTGAAGACCAATTCTAACCCGGATCTTCAAGGGTAGGTTCTTTATTCAACTAAACTTGTACGATATATTGGCATCTTTCAAGGTGGATCAACATGTTCAACGCCTGTAGAAACAATCCCACTAAAACCACCAGCATATATACTGAGGTAAATGTTTGCTCGCTGAAGCACTGATGTAACTGTCTTGGGATTATGTTAATGAGAATCGAGAAGATTCGATGCATATATTCCCCGTCGTGGTTTTTCATTGACATAGTTGTTATTTGTTTTGTTTACTTGTCAGGATTATTTTCTGACCTATATGTAAACTGCATGTGTGACGGTGTATGTGACCTGAATGTTACAACATGAAATTGAATGTTTTTTAATTTTGCTACAATTTGTTTCACTTTACCCAAACACTATTCCTATAACATTGCGTGTTTATACACCTGAGCCTAGATTTTCGAAGCTCTCTTAGTGCTAAGATAGTCGTAAGCGTCATACATTAAAATTAACTTACGACTATCTTAGCGCTGAGAGACCTTTGAAAATCTAAGCCCTGGGCTCCGTTTCACAAAGCTATCGTAGCGCTTCGAATGTCGTAAGTCTATGTTAAAGAATGGGAGTTACGATCATCTTAGCGCTTCGAATGTCGTAAGTCTATGTTAAAGTATGGGAGTTACGATCATCGTAGCGCTACGACTGTCGTAAGTCTATGTTAAAGTATGGGAGTTACAATCATCTTAGCGCTACGACTGTCTGTATTGCAGTATAGGAAGTACGACAGTCGTAGCACTACGATAGTTTTGTGAAACGGGACCCTGTATTCGTGAATGACTTGTTTGTTATATATTCTGATCACTTCTTGAATGACCCGATGTTTGGAGAATCGGCTGACTTTCACTTTTTTTGTAGTGTAAAATCAAGGGATGAAAATCAGTGAAATTACACATGGCCTTATGTCGGGTCCACTCAGCTACAGGTAACATTGTATCTATGTATAGGGGTGGGGTAGCCTAGTGGTTAAAGCGTTCGTTTGCAATGCCGAAGGCCCGGGTTCGAATCCTCATATGGACACCATGTGGCACCTGATATTGCGGAAATATTGCTAAAAGTAGCGTAAATCTAAACACATTTACTACCGATGTATATCTGTAAACGTCGATGGTCAAAGAAGTTATTGTTTGTTCTTCATCTGTGCCCTGTAACATTACGCCACGTTTAACTAAGCATTTATACTTTGACAAAATCTTTCCGATTAGCTTGTAAATCAAAACGTATTGTGTGCAGAATATATATACTATGTGTTAATATCCAATAGTGTGGCGTATTTTTGATACTCTTGATGTTAATAAATCGTTTTTACATATGTTAAATATATATGTGTGTATGTTATCCTTGTCAAACATGAAACATATTAGCGGGAATCGAGACTTATTTACTCCAATGACTGTAGAGAATGGATACTACAAGTTAAATGATGTGTATTTGCAGAAAAAGGCCACATGATCCACGTATTTTGTATATGTTTGGTTGTGACTTTTTTGGGTGCTTTTTAACTCCTTATTTACCATTAGTGCCGTGGGTCACGTTGCCTTTTCTACACTTAAACGTCTTGTATAATGTAGGAGTAGACACTCTCAGCCCTGGATATATCGTTAGATTGGGCTAACGCTTACTCATTGATTCATCTCTGGATGTATAGGGTTTTTTTTGTTTGTTTTTTTTGGTTGTGGTTTTTTGTTTTTGTTTTGGTTTTGGTTTTTGTTTTCTTGTGTTTTTTTGTTTGTTTGTTGTTGTTTTTTTGTTGTTTGATTTTGGGGGTTGGGGTGTGTGTTTTTTTTTTTTTTTTTTGGGGGTGTTTTTGTATTTCTGCCAGGTATACATATAGGTTGACATGTGTAAAAGTATACAGTTCAGTACATATGTGTTGGTTGATAATACTTCAGTATAATTGTAGTGAGTCAATAACACTGTTACATGTGCAACGAGATAATTTACTTACTCAACGGTTCTGAATAGCATGTGCAATATGGACCATAGTTTTGAGAAGTAGGGTTCCTGGTCAAGATTAATGTACACATATTCTATTCATCTCTGAATGTATAATTCATAGAGGGTTAAAACCAACTCAGCTCAAAGAGGGATAAAACCAACTTAGCTCAAGGAGGGATAAAACCAACTTAGCTCAAAGAGGGATAAAACCAACTTAGCTCAAAGAGGGATAAAACCAACTTAGCTCAAAGAGGGATAAAACCAACTTAGCTCAAAGAGGGATAAAACCAACTTAGCTCAAGAGGGATAAAACCAACTTAGCTCAAAGAGGGATAAAACCAACTTAGCTCAAAGAGGGATAAAACCAACTTAGCTCAAAGAGGGATAAAACCAACTTAGCTCAAAGAGGGATAAAACCAACTTAGCTCAAGGAGGGATAAAACCAACTTAGCTCAAAGAGGGATAAAACCAACTTAGCTCAAAGAGGGATAAAACCAACTTAGCTCAAAGAGGGATAAAACCAACTTAGCTCAAGAGGGATAAAACCAACTTAGCTCAAAGAGGGATAAAACCAACTTAGCTCAAAGAGGGATAAAACCAACTTAGCTCAAAGAGGGATAAAACCAACTTAGCTCAAAGAGGGATAAAACCAACTTAGCTCAAAGAGGGATAAAACCAACCTTAGCTCAAGAGGGATAAAACCAACTTAGCTCAAAGAGGGATAAAACCAACTTAGCTCAAAGAGGGATAAAACCAACTTAGCTCAAAGAGGGATAAAACCAACTTAGCTCAAAGAGGGATAAAACCAACCTAGCTCAAAGAGGGATAAAACCAACCTAGCTCAAAGAGGGATAAAACCAACTTAGCTCAAAGAGGGATAAAACCAACTTAGCTCAAAGAGGGATAAAACCAACCTAGCTCAAAGAGGGATAAAACCAACTTAGCTCAAAGAGGGATAAAACCAACTTAGCTCAAAGAGGGATAACACCAACTCAGCTCAAAGAGGGATAAAACCAACTCAGCCCAAGGTGCGTTAAAACCAACTCAGCTCAATGTGCGTTAAAACCAATTCAGCCAAAAGTGGGTTAAAACCAACAGCTCAAAGTAGGTTAAAACCAACTCGCTACAGTTCAAAGTGGGTTAAACCCAACACAGCTTAAAGTGGGTTAAACCCAACTCAGCTCAAAGTTGGTTAAAACCAACTCAGCCCAAAGTGGGTTACAACCAACTCAGCCCAAAGTGGGTTACAACCAACTCAGCCCTAGGTGGGTTACAACCAACTCAGCCAAAAGTGGGTTAAACTCACCTCAGTCCAAAGTGGGTTAAAACCAACTTGCTATAGTTACGTTTAATATATATATGAGATGGGATGAGAATGAACTTTTGAGGAAAACTCTGAAAACTAGCCGAAGCTCCTGATATTTATGCATTTTAGACCTTTAAAACTGCCTCAGAAATGACAATATCATGAATACAGCAACCACTAAAAAACTTAAAACTCTGCTGAAGAACATTCATACAATTGTTAACGGATTTAGACGATTCACAAAAATTACCCTTGGCCTTATGAAATTCCCGGAATTCTACGGATCCGCGGAAACTTCTCATCCCTGTTACATAAATAAATAAAATTAAAATATTCAAAAAAAGGACCAAAATACGGTAAGAAAGTAAATATGTTTTGTATTAATAAGTATCACAAACGAAATGAATACGATGTAAACACACTATATTTTTACCACAAAGTGTAAGTAAATGTTCACGGAGATGATGGTGGGGTGTGTGTGTATCCTGTACAGTGGATTATAGGGAACCGATACCCTCAGGACCAGACATCCACTGTCACATTATACCACAGCCCCCCAGGGGACACACGCCATCAAGGGTGTATCCTGTACAGTGTGTCATAGGGCCCCCCTCTCCTCAGGACCCGACATCCACTTACACATTATACCACAGCCCCCCAGGGAACAGACGCCATCAAGGGTGTATCCTGTACAGTGGGTCATAGGGCCCCCCTCCCCTCAGGACCAGACATCCACTGTCACATTATACCACAGCCCCCTAGGGGACACACGCCATCAAGGGGCTATCCTGTACAGTGTGTCATAGGGCCCCCCTCCCCTCGGGACCAGGCATCCACTGTCACATAGCAGCAACCCCAGGGGACAGACGCCATCAAGGGGCTATCTTGTACAGTGGGTCATAGGGCCCCCCTTCCCTCAGGACAAGACATCCACTGTCACATTATACCACAGCCCCCAGGGGACAGACGCCATCTAGATGGCTATCCTGTACAGTGGGTCATAGGCCCCCCCTCCCTCAGGACCAGGCAACCCCGTCACATAGCAGCAAACCCCTGGGACAGACAGACGCCATCAAGATGGCTATCCTGTACAGTGGGTCATAGGGCCCCCCTCCCCTCAGGACCAGACATCCACTGTCACATTTTACCACAGCCCCACCAGGGGACAGATGCCATCAAGGGTGTATCCTGTGGGTCATGGGGGACCCCTCCACTCAGGACCAGACATCCCCGTCACATCGCACCACAGCATTTTGGGTTGTATAGCTGTCTGACTCAGCCCCTCGGCATCTGGGTGAAGCTCCTTCATCGGCCATGTGTCGTAGAATTCTGATTTTCCTTTGAAATATGTCCGTCTGAGAGAAGACCCTCCATATGTTTCCACATTCACGTTACACCCGCAACACCTGAAACAGGAGATTATAGAGTATGCTACCAAGGAGACGGAGTTGTGTCCCTTAGCCGTTTAAGGATCCACTTTTTGAAAACCGCTCTCCTCCCATACAACATCCTTCATACAACGTGTTCCGGTGTATTGCTGGTATATAATCACAATACATTGTATTATGATATTTCCAGATTTGTCAGCTATATGATGACGACCTTAACTGAAGAATAGCAACACTTCGGGTTTTCCTCCCAAATCAAACAGACACACCAAGATATAACTGAAATGCTGTTCAAAGCGGAATTAAACCAAACTCACTAACTTCTGAGACAATGGCACAAGGTTATAGGTCAGAGATTTGGCGTGACCTAAAAGACACATTACTTACACAACAAGGTTGCCCCACAAGTGAAGACTGCTCTTGGACTTCAGTTCTGTAGACAACATTAAAGACGATATAAATATTTCTCAGTTACGTTACATGTGTTTAAAAAAAGGAGAGAAAGGTTGTCACCCATGACCTCGCCCCACCCTCATTTTTTTCATTTGTGGTGAAATTTGCGATTTTATTGATTTCGAATTGTATTACGGGGATTCTTTTATATATATTTTAAGTTCTAAAAGCTTTCTACAACTTTACAACACAAATTATGACAAAGCTGCCTGAAGTGAAAAACAACATTCACTCATGGTGTGACGTAGACAACTTACCTTGATCGACATTGGCATATATGTAGTTTTTATGCGCTTGCGTGTGTGTTTCCAAAATAACGACGACATTAAACTGGAACAGTCCCTTCTTTTTCAGGACAGCCAAAACATATAGTATTATAAATTTCTGTAAATCAATTGTTGATTATGGTGCTTAAGTAAAACACTGTAATATGACTTTACAATGCAGTCTTTTCAAAATCCGTGTACACACTGGGAATTTTTTTTAAAAACGGCATATTTGCCTAACTCTGGTCTGGAAGTACTTCTTACAGGGTTCGCATCGGTCAAAAGAAACAAAGGTTCACACAATTATGAGTTCAGAGGTATAACAAACATGTATGTGTGCGGAGCTGACCTAGAAACAATGGCCACCAAACACTCCGCTCCGCTTTCTGAGGAAGGTATTACAGCCAAACGTTCTAAACTGACCCAGAAAACGCCAATCAAGTGAATAATACGTCAGCAAAACTTTTTAAAGAATATCAGGCAGACAAGGAGCAAGACAAGGATTGGACTACAAGGATAACTCAAACAGGTGACCAATACATATTACAAGACATCAACTTAGGAGAATATTAAGGTGAGGTGAGGTGAAATTGAGAATATTTCGCTCATATGACGACGTGCATGTGTGTGTATGTGTATGTGCGGCTGCTTGTACTAGCCCACACTGAAGCTGGTTTTATAGTGCTAGCCCACTGAGATACCATGCCGCAGTGAAGCATGAATACCCCACTCAGACATTATACGGACTCCGAGCCGACCAGTCCTTGTTGTACCCATAAATGCCGAGCGCCAGGCAGGGACCAACAAGTACAATATTTTAACGTCTTTTGGTATGACGCGGCCGGGGATCGAACCCGCGACCTTCCGCTCTCCGGGCGGACGCTCCAACCACTACACCACGGAGGCGGTCGGAGAATATTAAGTATATAGTCTCAACAGATATTTGAAATCTCCGCCGTATTGTAGAGACTTTGACATAATCATGGATGCGCGATTCAACGATGCCAAAGAGTCTTTTAAAAACGGCAATACTCCAGCTGAAGGCTGCTTGTGAGGGTGAGACGAAACACAAAGTAGTGATCTCTAGTTCTGATCTAGAAAATTTGTATCCGTCTATGCACTTGAACACTCAGACACCATCTGGATTGGCTGACAAGGTTCAGTTTGTCATCAGACTAACCTTTCCAGCGACGTTTCGAAAATATATGAGGGAATGACGAAAAACTACATTCGTCGTGTGAACACTGATTCTGAGATGGCCTCCGTTATGGACAGAAAATGTTGAAGAAGTGACCAAAAAAAGACAATGGTGACAAGGAGTCCTTTTTCTGTTTTCTTATCATGGGTGAGCCTAGGCCTCCAAAAATTTAATTCGTCTCTCTGTCCAGTGACATCGCAATTTGCCCACCTTGATAAGCTACATCCGGGAGATAGTTTTTGTGACCTGGTATAACAAGAAGTGTGTCAAGACTACGAAAGCTACCTTCATGCATGTCTACTCTCAGCAAGCCTTGTGGTTTGTCCCAGGTTTACGCAAACCACTGTATCTGGCTACACATTTCTGATGTCCCCCGCCGTGATATTGCTGGAATATTGCTAAAAGCGGCGTAAAACCATACTCACTCACTCACTCACTGTATCTGGCTACTGGCGCCACGATCCTCACTCGCGGTAAGTGGTAGACTTTATGAAGCTACTCACTTTATAGGACTAGAGGCAGGCAGCACGTGCTGCACATGCCAGGCAGACCACACCAACCGGGTGTGTTGTGGCTATGCTAATCAGCATAGCCGAGAACACACTAATAACCCATGTTATATTAACCCAACCCCAAATAGAAGTCAAACTTTACCCCAAATATCCTAAACTACCAGAGTCATGATTGTGTTTATACCGTTTATTACCCACATTTTAAAAAACACACAAGGGTAGCCATAACGTTAAGATAAATATGTTGTAGCCTGAGGGTACACTGCAACACAGAGGGTACACCAGACCGCATTCCCCAACGGTTACAGCTGAAAGTGTGCAAACTGTGTATACAAATCCGTGCAAATCCTATACCATTATATATCGTTCCGGTGTCCAGGCAAAACTCTGATTAGATACAGGCATAACACTGTCAGATTCACACACTGGGGCTGAATGAGGCCTTAGCTTTACATATAAAGCTGTATTTACAAGTTGATTTTGAAATCTGATTTCCATATCATCTTTCATCTTAATTAAGATACAATATGTATTTTAAGTCGGAAAATATGAGCCGTGTTACAGGCATTCATAATCGAGGAGCAGATCGTTGTTACTTGAAAGTTCTCAGTCACCGTTTCTTTGTATACTTGTTCTTGCCGCACTCCGAAATATTCCAGCTATATGGCGGCGGTCTGTAAATAATCGAGTCTGGACCAGACAATCAACATCATGAGCATCGATCAATGAATTAGTGGTAAATGCAGCGAAAAACCATTCTCACACATTTCTCTCACAATATAGTATCCTCAATACATCCACACCCAAACCAAGCCAGCCATGAACCCCTTTAACATGGAGGATAGACATTTGAATATTTAGACATAGCTAGCATCACATATGCTGAATGCCATTATTTACAAGACTATTTAATTTACTATTTCATGAACTTGTGCCTTTGAAAATATGTGACCTTGGGATATTCAATATTAAAACAAACTTACAATTGCTTTGTAAATATTTATAAAGCATGAACCACATTCTGGAAATAATGATTTATCAACAAGCCAAAATATGTGAGCCAGGCTCACCAATAACCCCCACCATGACTCCCAGCTTCATTATATAAGTACTTGTGCTGGGAATCGGAAACCAAATCCACTATCGATTATTGGAGGACTTGTGGTGAACGATTATTGACTATAATTGAAATATATACATTTTTAATGTAATCATCAATCTTAAGGTTTTTTCCCCAGGTTTTTTCTAATTAATGTGTTTTTTATTACTAATACTGTCATGCAATGAAATGCAAGTAAGTCACTGGATTTGTAATTAAACAATAAAAGTGGTTACAATTTTACAATGCGCATAGCTTTACGCTGTTGAGCGCATGTTTGTTCGTGAATATTCATCAAATTAAATGGTAAGTATACTTTATTCAAGGGTGTTATACAAAAACAACAAAATTCCAATTAATCAAAAAAAAATATTTTTATTACAATCGATAATCATTTTTAATCCTTCTTTCGATCAATTTTCGATTTTTTTTTAGATCATCGGAACACCACTAATTAGTACAACTTTTAATAATGATTATTCTTGACAAAACTGAATCAAAGTTTGCGCTGCACCTTTACTTTAAGCAAAGAAGCCATTATCCAAACCTAAAAACAATCCATTAAATAATCATAAAGTTATTGGTTGAACAAAACTGTACTCCCCTCTACTTATGCACCAAACTGTACTCCCCTCTGCTTAAGCTCTATACTGTACTCCCCTCTGCTTAAGCACTATACTGTACTCCCCCCTGCTTAAGTCTATACTGTACACATATCTGCTTAAGCACAACAATGTACTCCCCTCTGCTTAAGCGCCATACTGTACTCCCATCTGCTGAAGCACTATACTGTACTCTCACATGCTTAAGCACCATACTGTAAACCCATCTGCTTAAGCACTATAATGTACTCTCATATGCTTAAGCACCAAACTGAACTCCCCTCTGCTTAAGCACTATACTGTACTCTCATATGCTTAAGCACTATACTGTACTCTCATATGCTTAAGTACAATACTGTACTCCCATCTGCTGAAGCGCTGTCTCTATGATGTAGATGATGTTCTCAGAACTTGCATGGTTCATCAGTGGACATTCAAGCTCACCTGAAACACAAGCATGGATTATCTCCCTTGTTACTCTTCTCTAAGAGCACTGTTCACAATTTACATTAAGCCTCTTTTTGTACATGACATAATACTGTCATCAGCACTAGAACAGTGACATTGTCTGGGTACATTGACACACATTCGGCCAGGCCACACCATCATGTCATGTTTATTTCAGTCTGCACTGACTGCACAAAAATACAGCACTGCATGTCACATACTTTCTACAAGTGAGTGAGTTAAGTTTTACGCTGCTTTTAGCAATACTCCAGCAATATCACGGCAGAGGACACCAGAAATGGGCTTCACACATTTTACCCATGTGGGGAATCGAACCCGGGTCTTCGATGTGATGAGCGAACACTGTAACCACAAGGCTACCCCACCACCCCTACCTTCTACAAGTCAGAACCAGTCTCCAAAATCAACCCGTGGTTGACTTTGATAACATGTCATGTTAATTTATGTTTGTATCCGTGAAGATCTGGGTTAGAATTGACCGGATTGAGCAAATATTATCTTAAGAGGTGACTTATGAAATCAGGTGGCTAGACTCGCAGATTGTTTTATGCAAGTCATCGTATCCCAACTGACTGATACACTTGATGTCAACCACTCGATTGTCTGGTTCAGTCATAATTAGTTGCAGATCCCTGTCATATGGCTGGAAACTTGTTGTGTTAAACAAAAAACAGACACAGACGACTGACTGAGTTTGGTTTTACGCCGCTTTTAGCAATATTCCAGCAACATCACGGTGGGGGACACCAGACATGGGCTTCACACATTGTACCCATGTGGGTATTCGAACCCGGGTCTTCGGCGTGACGAGCCAACGCTTTAACCACTTGGCTACCCCACCGCCCCAGACACACACGAGGTGACCTTGCTTGTTGTAAGGGGCGACTGGTCCATGCTATTGCGTTATTCAAAATGGGTGGATAGACGCTAATGACATCAACCACTTGATTGTCTAATCCTAATTATAATGATCATTTACAAACCATTATAAGGCTAGACAAATTTTATTTATGGTTTTACGGATCTGCCTGTCATATTTTTCAAGAATGAGAAAAAAAATGTAATTTTCTGACTAAAATTGATATTTTATACTTATCCTGACTCATGCTTAATTGCTTGTCTTCTTCTTCTTGCGAATTGTAGTGGAACACTTGAATCCCCTTTTGAAGCTCCCTTCAAAAACGTGGACGTAAAATCACTCACCCCAGTTGCCTCCCTTGAAACCACCTTTGGCGAAAAGGTCACATGATCGGCCATGCTTGTTCACTCTCTCCGTTATTTCGAGCCCTGACACTTGGATTTGCAGGGAAATCCAGAGTGCCATGAGGGGAGGTTGGGAGGGCTAAACTCATGAGTCAGGATAAGTATAAAATATCAATTTTAGTCAGAAAATTACATATTTTTCATTATCCTGACTCATGCTTAATTGCTTGTAGAATCCGACGGAAACGGTGGTGGGTCAAGCCACTCTGGATTCTCTGCTGATTTACGTCCTTATACCCCCTTGGGAACTTCTAATGGCATTTGTCCTTTCTTCCAGCTTCCTCTGATGAATGTGGGGGGACCACAGCTTGTCAGATTTATCCTGGAAATCTTCTCCTGACATTTTGTGTGGATTTTATACGACTCCATCTCTTGATGCATGCATCAAGTGGAGAAGTGACCCTGCTTCGTGTACAAGTAAGTCCTTACAAGTACCGGGTCTATCACTCATGCTAGCCTGTCCTAGACGTGCGCATGGACTCTAAAACCGTACTCTGTTGAGTGTTGGCTTTTACAAGTCACGTGACAAAAGGGTGAGATTTATCTCAGCGCCTTTGAGGTACCGTCAATTGTTGTGCTACAACAAGCGGCCCAAACTGGTGTATGTCGGAGAGGTAGTGGTTGGCAAACACCGTCTCCGACCTCCAGTAGCAACCCTCCGTTATTGTTGATATGGAGCAGTTTCCGTGCAGAGCTAGCGTGGATGCCAGTGCTCTGACTTCGTGAGGATTGGAGGCTCATGGAGGATCAAGTCCTGCTGCTTTATAGGCTCTCAATATGACGGCTCTCATCCATATTGATATGGTTGTACGTGAGACTTCTGTAGGTGTCTCCGTAGATAGAGGGATGAAAAGGCGCGCTTGAATTTTCGTCTCCTCAATTTAGACCTCTGTAGATATATTTTCAATGCTCTGACTGGACATAAGGATCAACCTTGCGTATCCTGTGGTCCTAATATCGACGAAAGTGCTGGGATATGGAATTGTCTGTCTGGTTGACCGGGCAGCTATAAAATCCCATCTTAGTCCCAGATGCACTGTGTCACGATGCGTGTTAAATCTTGTTCGTTCGAAGTCTAGAGCATGAAATTCTGACATCGATATCCTTGCCGCTGTAGCTAAGGCTACGAGGAACAGTGTTTTATGAGTTAATTTCGCATATGATGTCCTTTCTAGTGGTTCGTAATCTTCACTGGTAAGATGTTCTAGAACCACGTTGAGATCCCAAGCAGGCGTCTTGAATTTACTTTGTTGGTCTTCCAACTTGAATGAGCGTAGTAGTGCCAGCCAGTATCTCTGGTACTTTTGTCAGTTTTATACCCGTCTTCATCGTGATAACTGAGCTCAAGGCCGCTAGGTATGTAGAGAGTGTAGATCCCTTCCATCGTTTTGTCTGTCTAAGATGACAAAGGTATTCCGCCACTTGAGGATGTGTTGCTTCTATTGCAGTGAAGCCTTTATTCCGAGCGTATTTCTCAAAACTTTGCCACTTGTCATCATACAAGTTACGGGTTGATCTGCGTAAGGCTAAAGTAACTGCTTTGGCCGCTCTGGTGGAATATCCTCTTTTCCTCAAGCACGTCGTGATACACTCTATGCATGTAGTTGAAACATAGTTGGGTTTCTGTGTGCTTGCTTGGTGTGTGGATGAATCAGTAGATTTGGCCACTTTGGAAGTTGTAGGATTGGATTTCCTATATCTTGTATGAGGTTGGGGAACCACTCTCTCGCTGGCCAGTAAGGCGCGACCAAAATCAGTTGTAACTTGTTCGTCATTTTGATTTTCTGTAATACCTTTGGTATTAGTGCCGGTGGAGGGAACGCGTTACGCGTTTAGTCCTTCCCACGATATGCTCAAGGCATCCGTTGCCCATGCTTGAGGATCTGGGACCGGAGAGACGAATGTTGGTAGTTGTTTGTTGAACTTGGTTGCGAACAAATCTACCAGTGGGGATCCTATTGTCCGAATGATGTCCTTGAATGCCTCTGGGTGTAGCATCCACTCCGTCGGTGACGAATTCATAGGACGGGATAGGGCATCTGCTATCACATTTCTGGCTCCAGGAATGTGTGACGCTTTTATGTCGATGTTCAAGTTGTCTACTATGCTGAATAGTTGAAAGCTGAGGTCCAACATGCTTCTTGACCTTGTTGACCCTTGTTTGTTGATGTAGAACGCCACTGTGGAGTTGTCCGTATGGATTATCAGTTGAGCGTTCCTTAGTATGCTGGACCAGTGTAGTAAGGCGTTTATAACTGCTTTCAATTCTAGCATGTTGATGTGTAGCTTTTGCTCCTGATTCGACCACTTTCCCGATGCCACTTTGTTATTTAAGTGAGCTCCCCATCCTTGGTGGGACACATCTGCGTAGAGATGAGTGTTGGATCCCGTCTCTACTAAGTAGGTTCCTGCGCAGACATTCGACTTCTGTGTCCACCATAACAGGTATGGTTTCAGTTCGTTCGGTAGGACGAATGGATCCAGACTGCCTCTGCGTGTCTTGCGCCGACGTGAGGAGACCGAGCAGACTCGTCCACTCTCGTAGTGGCAACGGAGAGAGTAGTGCTTGAGATACCATGGCTTGTATCTAGACCCAGCTATTCTTTGAGACGACAATGCGATTCTGCGGTGAGATGAACATCTTCCCAAAAATCTGCTCATATCCTACGTTGTAGGTACCCTTGCCATGTCCGTAATGGCAGCGAAGCAACATGTCCGGTTCTGGCAACATGACTTGAAGTTTATTTCTTCAATCTTCCAATAATATGTTAAAAGGGCCTGTTGTCAGAATCGCCACAAGTGCAGTGATGATGCATAATTCGTCGTCTCTAGATGTACTGGAATTGCGTAATAGACCGATCCAGTCTGTCAATCAAAACTGGCGCATGCGTCAATTTTGGCCAATCAGCAGGCCGGGCGCGCTGTGTGGATTTGTCAGACTTATTTCCGGGGTCAAACGATGCATCCGAAGCGATGTGCTTCAAATTATGCCATTTACACTCGCTATATTTATTACATATTGCTGCGATTTGATGTGTACCTTAACAAAACCATTACGGTCAAGACAACAAAAATGGAGGCGGATCAAGAAACGCGATAGGCCTGACGATCAGTTAAATGTCTGCACCATCGTTCAGGAAACCTATGTCTGCCTGCTGATGAGAATTTGCACACTTTTGCACATGTGCAAAATCATTACCAATTGATGACAACAAATAGCAGTTTAAGACTTTGCAAGTGTTATAAACACGGACAATTCTTGTAACTACAAAATTGATTTTGCTTAACGTTTTTAGTCACTACTAGGCATTGAGTTGGTACGCCACAAAGCTGAAAAGAGACAGGCGAGAAAGCCGTCACACAATGTAAACAAATCTTCATTTCGGTTAGGGTCAACCGAAATAGCAAAACATGTTACATGAAAGAACAATGTGGCGGATATTGTCCCCTTCGCTCTTAGATATTCTTCAATTTGTCACACATTTTTGGATGTTTTAAGTTTCATAAGCACAATCTGAAGGCCTACAGTATCTTGTTAACAGAGCAAAATATTCGAGGAGTAATAATTTTTATTCAAACGGAAATATTGTCATTGTCAGCAGTTGCCTATCATGCAATATCCAAGTATCAAAATTAGTTCATATGAGTGCCTATAAAACCATGCTTTAAATATTTCAGATTTTTTATAAAGAATTGCATGGGGACTTTGAACTGAATTACCTTCCTCCAGGTTGATCGAATACGAAAACTATGTGAGAAGAATAGTGACTTTCTGGAGTATTGGACGGAGTGAAATAAAGTGTATATCTTAATTATGAGAACATTATTTGAAGTTTTGTTACCACATAAATTATTCACATATAATGGTACATTTTAGGAGTAATATTACAACTGTAATTTTGATTAATTCACTGGAAATGATATCAAGGTATGTTTTCAGAATCTTACTTTTTTAGTAAACGTGGAAGGGTAATAAAATTAATAATAATCTAATCAATAATAAATAATTATTTAATTGATTGACATATCAGATTTTTTAGATTTTAAGGCAGAACTAGGCAAACAAACACCGTACATATCAAGGCAGGACAATCACTTGGTATTAACTTAGTTTCTTGGCTCCTGCTTTTAGATGTTTTTTTTTAAATACTACATTTACTAATAAGATAATTCTGAAAGTGATTGCTAGTATCATAACTCATTAAAGTTATTTCAACATCCAGAAAATTTGAAAAAGCAAAGGCTACGTTTTGGTCAGACCCTGGTCAGGCATTATCTAGTCCTGGAACAGAATAACTTACAAAAATCTCAGTTGACTTTTCATGTAACGGAATAAAGATTGAAACATATATTTAACCCATATTTGATGTAATTCTTCTGATAAATCATAAGTTTTTTAGGAGGTTACTACTATTGGAAGACTGACCCAAAGCTAGTGTTTATTAAGATGGTGGATTTGGACAAATTGTTCAAGGTTTGTTGATGGTTATTTGCAAAATGAGCTTCATATTAAATTGCACACTGGTTTGTAGGAGGTGAACGCTTCAGGACATTTTCATGTCTGTTTTCCTAAACCTTTGTTATGACTTTTACCAAATTTTGAATCAACTTTACTACAATTTTTATGACACCAGTAAGTATCTCAGAAAAGGAAATAGATCAAAATCAGTGTTATGTCCCCTAGGGATATGGTCTCAGATCTAATAAAACAAAGATTATCATTGTTTAATTAAGAAGCAATAATTGTATTGACAGAAGGCTTTGAACATAGGATATATTCTTTGCACCTTATTTACACTAGTAGTTAACAGTTAGGCATATCTGATGAAAAAACAATAGATCTACATTTGTATTTTGTGTAACATTCTATTTCAATGCTAGTTAATTGTTCGAATAACTGTGGATTCTCTGTTCCAAAGTTTTGCATCACATGTTTCCTATTTCTGGAAGATGGGTCAGTTTGTGTACAGGTGCAGACTGTATCTTGGATCTTCTTTGTGTTCTGGTGCTGTGACATACCTGTACATAAACGCTGGTAGTTCATGAAGTCCAGTATTGTGGAAGTTTGTATGTAAATTAGGATTCCACAAGAAAGTACATATAGAAAAATTAAATGGAAATGATGATTAAAAAAAATGATTTCCTTATATTCAGTGTCATTTTATCATGGAGTACAGATTTTGAAGAGAGACACTTTACTGAGAGTTGCTGCAGATCCATGGAAACATATTGTTTACAAGCCCAATTACCTTTTCCAGATTTCCAAATAAGATCAAATAGGTTATGCTGTGATTGATTTGTTTACATTAATTGTACAGACAAATAAGGTGCATGAAGTAGTAGACGGGAAATATTTTCTGCTTTTTATTTACCATTCTCTTAATTCATTAAAAGATAGAAACCCATGTTTTCAGATTATTGAACTAAATTTGAACAACGCCAACGGATAAGTAAAGGCGCCACGCGCAGTGTTGATAATCTATTTATAGATACCGAAACGATCTGCAACATGAACATGTGTTTGTGTTCACGAGTTTTAAAAATTATAAACCCAAACAACAAAATTCAGTTATCCTTTCCCTGCTAATATCTGTGACGGAGGTGAATTGCCAGATAGATTAATTGATTCGAAAGAAATTACGCTTACTACAGTCTCAGCAGCTAGTCGAGACGCTTTTTCATCGGGCATGTAACTCATTTTCACTCGCCAGTTGTAATCTGCCAACTAAAATATATCAAAAATCACATACGTATAACTTGCCTCTTTAAATAACATTCACAAACGGCGGATACCAAAGTATCACAAGCAGAATTCATCAACAACGTTCGCAATCACGTAACGTTTCGCCGGCAGTGACGCCATTGTGATTTGCCAGTGGTTGTCCCCTAACGTCAAAACGAAGTGGGCGGGGCTTATCGGCCGGGACTGGATCGGTCTATAGTGTTCATCCCGCCGATGTAGACGCTAAATGTTCTGACATGAACTGTTGGTCTTTCTTTGGGTTAGTAAGGCTGAGTAGATCATCCGATCTTCTTCCGATGTAGAGTTTGCAAACTTCGCAATTAGGGTTTCGTTGATGGCTCTTGACCTGGCTAATCCGAAGAAGGTACGTCTAGTGGTTGTGTCTAGTTGCGCAGCTTCTTGTCCTCCACTTTATAAGTCCTGATGCAAGCGTCATTGATGAGTTTATAGTTTTCATCTACTTCTGGGGCCTTCATGAATGGTTCCATATTGTGTAGTGAAAATCTCTTAGCATTAAACGGTGGAATGCTTTGAGTCTGATACTTCGTTGCCTTCTTAAAGCTGAGCTGAGGTTGTCTGGGACGTCCAGTACCGGATCTATGGGTGGCAGCGTTAGCGTGTCAAAATCCGCGTTAGACATCATGTACGTGTAGGCTTCATTATTCTCTTTAGATGGTGCTGCAAGCTCGAGACCATTAGCCATCCATGACTTGATCTCTGTGTCGGAGAAGATAACTCCTCCATCATCTTCCGGTTTCGATGTGTCTCGTTCCGAAAGTCGTTGCTGTTGGTCCTGATCTCTAGGTGGAGATCTATGTGTAAGCCTGCGCGCAGGCACTCATGTATGCCTAATTGGAGATGCACTAGGTGATCTGTATCTGCGTGGTGACGACCATGTAGATCTTGCCGAGGATCTGTGCGACGGTGACCTGTCTCTGTAAGTTGTATGCCTTCGTGAAGGCGTATAATCTCTTCTGCGTGGTGTAAATGTAGACCTCTGGTGATTGTCTGTAGCAGGAGTTCTTTCATAATTGTTGTTTCTTTCGCGAATGCCATCGCAGGTGTTGTCTCGGTTGTTGTTTCCAAGAGTGTCTTCACCAGTGGTCCTTCTGCAAATGCCTTCGCGAGATTCGTCACGGCCGTTGTTGTCATCCTGGGCGTTCCCTTCACGAACGTTTTCTTAACGCAGGTTACGTCCTTCATCCCGCTGAGGTGTAGACGATGTTTGTCCTCCTTTCAGACTCGTCTGCTTCTCTGCAGACTTCTCCTGAGCGAACCTACGTTCCATCAGGTCCATCATCTGCTGGGTAAACTGCTGCATAAAGATGCCTGGGTTGAAGGTCTGCGCTGATAACAGCTGTTGTTGTACAGATGACGCCGCATCTGACAATGTTGAGGTGTCATCTAAGGACTGCCTGTCCTCTCTGGTAGTTGCAGTCTGCGCAGATAGGCCGCAGGTCTGACTGCATTGATATAGTTGCAGACGTCAGTGTAGAAGAAACCTCGTCTTCTTTCTCGCCGGTACTTCACGGATGAGGATCGGCGGCTCATCATAAACGTCTGCTTCGTCCAATGGGTTGATATCTGTGGCGAAGGAACTCGACTTCTTCGCTGCCCCCACTGACGACTTGACTGTAGACTTCTGAAGACGGCTTAGTCTTCGCAGCAGACGGCGTGCTGGTCTTCTTAGACTGCGATGAGGATTTTTGAGTCGAAGACGATCTTTTCCTAAGGCCGGAACCCTCAATTCTCTGCTCTGCAGACGTCACCGGCAGCACACTGGAATAATGTACCTCAACAGACAACAACCCACGGTGTTGAGACACGACTAGTAACTGACGTCTCAATTGTCCTTGGCACGTCTATGAACAGAATATAAATAATTACAAAATTCAATTTGAGATAAATGCTGACAAAGTTTACGGCGGAGGCTGGAAGAACATATAGAAGTGCAGTTAGGACATAGTAAATGCGGATCAGCAGCCGACAATCGAAACCTGCAAGAAATGCAAGCTTTCATGAAATGTAAACAAGTTGAGAAATGTTGTCAACAACGTGAAAAAAACGGACAAAATTAGAATAAATTTCAAACCATACTGTTGGTAAATCCTTGATAAAGCCCTTATACAGCCTAATTTAGTATAAAAGCCTAAAATTCAAAGGATATATGCCGTATAGGGGACCCAGGCGCTCCACTCACAACAAGCATGGCCGATCCCACCAAAGATGGTTTCGAAGAAGGGAGAGATTGAACAAGCATGGCCGATCATGTGAACTTTTCGCTTTTAGCAATCTTCCAAAGATGGGGACACAAGGGAGGCAACTGGGGTGAGTGGTTTTACATCCACTTTTTTTAAGGGAGCTTTAAAAGGGGATTCAAGTGTTCCACTACAGTTCTCAAGAAGAAGAAGACAAGCAATTAAGCATGAGTCAGGATAAGGAAAAATATAAAAATTTATTCTCCCCGTTCAAAAAATAAAACCCTAATGTTTTTATTGGCCAAAAATGTAAACTTACAAAAATAATTTTTTTAGATTGTTTTTTGCCCCATCTACACTTCTTCATAAATTGCCAAAAGTAAAATACTTTGAGTATTTAGAATGAATATTACTTTGACTGGTGATTTTATTTTTATTGTTTTTCCCACCTGCCTTTAGGTTTTCCGAGGACAAAAATCCGTAAAACAAGAAATAAAATTAGTCTGGCCTAAGATAACAGAAATAATTCTGAGTGCAAAATTAAATGACTCAAGAAAAAAATGGAGCAACAAATTCATTGTAGTTGGTATATTGCTGGGTGTAGTGCTAAACAAGGCACAAACAAACCTTTCTTGAGACATTCTCTAACACATCTCTGCTCATACTGAAATCCCTCACTGTTAGAGAAATTCATCTTTTCTTTACATTCAGGAATTGGGAACTCAAACACCCCCTGATGGCGTTGTCATCTTTGTAGGGCACCAGAACTTGTCCTCTACCTGTAAATAATAGTACAGTTAGACAATTGATTATCCACTCTCTCTATACACATAAATATAATAAATCTCTCTCTCTCTCTCGATTAAACAATTATTGCGATAGCAATAGTCTGTTGCAATATACTATTGCGATAGTTTTTTTTTCTCTCCTTCAAGGCTTGAATTGTCTCATTTGAAGTCATTTAAAAACTGAATGTATAATTCATATGAAATAAAAACAAGTTGGATTAGTTCCAGCATTGTTATTCACCATTTCAGACCCTGAGTCGCAAGCTGTGTTAACAGGGGCGGATAACTCAAAACCAAGTGAACGAATCTGGTACTTCCTGTATATTGCAGTGTGCATTTATCAATGGAAGTCATTTAATAAATTATCGATAGTCACACATATTATAGATGCATTGATAGGTTTTCATTTCTACCATCGATTAGCTGTTATCAGAGATTCAACAATTGCAATCCATCGATAGTTCGATGCATCGTTACAGCACTAATAATGATGCAGACACAAATCTCACTTTGATACAACCTTTGGTTCCACATATTAGCAGTGAGTTGGAGCTGCTCTGGGTCTTAGTATGATACACAATACTGGCGATACGGTCCCCACTGAACCTCAGAGTTATGACTCCTCCTGCATCTACTCCTGAAACAACAGAAACGAAAGGACATGCCCGTATTATCAGTTTCTAAACTCTTGGGGCGGTAGGGTAGCCTAGTGGTTAAAGAGTTCGCTCGTCACGCTGAAGACCCGGGTTTGATTCCCCACATGGGTGCATTGTGTGAATCCCATTTCTGGTGTCCCCCGCCGTGATATTGCTGGAATATTGCTAAAAGCGGCGTAAAACTAAACTCACTCTCTAAACTCTGGACTAGCTTTTCAGTTGATGATTTTTCTTGTTATTCTCACCTACTGACAAGAATAATCTCTGAAATACGTTGAATAACACCAGATTATGACCGAAGGGTATTATCACCCACCATCATCAGTGACCTCTCCTTCTGCGATGACCTTCTCAGGCCTTTCCTTGAAGATCATGTCAGCTGTCATGACACAGTAACAGCCAATGTCCATGAGTCCGCCCCCACCCAGCTTCTTGTCGTTGACGCGAGCCATGTTGTAGATGTTGACGCAGAAGGAATTCTGCGTCAGGACTACGTCGCCAATGGAGTTGGAAGATAGTTCTTCACGTACTTTCTCATAAACAGGAAAGAATCGACTCCAAAAGCCCTGTTATGAACAAAAGTGAGATCACATCACTGATCAAGCCTGGAATTGACAAACCTATCTATGTATGTATGTATGTATGTATGTATGTATGTATGTATGTATGTATGTATGTATGTATGTATGTATGTATGTATGTATGTATGTATGTATGTATGTATGTATGTATGTATGTATGTATGTATGTATGTATGTATGTATGTATGTATGTATGTATGTATATGTATGTATGTATGTATGTATGTATGTATGTATGTATGTATGTATGTATGTATGTATGTATGTATGTATGTATGTATGTATGTATGTATGTATGTATGTATGTATGTATGTATGTATGTATGTATGTATCTATGTATGTATGTATGTATGTATGTATGTATGTATCTATGTATGTATGTATCTATGTATGTATGTATGTATGTATGTATGTATGTATGTATCTATGTATGTATGTATGTATGTATGTATGTATCTATGTATGTATGTATGTATGTATGTATGTATGTATGTATGTATGTATGTATGTATGTATGTATGTATGTATGTATGTATGTATGTATGTATCTATGTAGGTATGTATGTATGTATGTATGTATGTATGTATCTATGTATGTATGTATGTATCTATGTATGTATGTATCTATGTAACTGAGGTACGGAGACTTGGGTCAATAAGAATTTGTCCCCTCTCTAAATCCAAGGGGTCTTAGAAAGCTATGTTTCAAGACAAACCAATCAAGTAGTTTTAATACATATTTCTAAAATTCTATTTTCTATCAGACACATTTGTATAAGCAATTGTTATATTTGAAAATGATGCTTTGATGATTTGAACCTGTTCCGAACCTTAAACCTACAGGAAGACAACCATGGGTATAGTGGATCACAAGGGAAGAAAAGTAAGTGTGATGCATGTTTTAGACATAACGCGATTCACGGAAAACATATTTAACAAAGCTATTTAGATACATTTTGAAACAACAAATTGTCACAGGAGTGGTACCCAACAGACACTCATGTAGTAATCTATATGAGTGAGTGACGCACCCAGCAATATTCCAGCTATAAGACGGCGGTCTGTAAATAATCGAGTATGGACCAGAATATTGCTGAGTGAAGAGTGTACCAGCCAGCCAGCCAGCCAGCCGGCCAGTCAATTAGCTGCCAAGATATTGCTTTTATAAAGATATCTGCACCAGTGGCAAGATTTGAAGATTCAAGACAGCAGAAACAGCAGTACATTAACCACAGGTCCACCATAGACTAACGCTTAGTTTCTGATTATATATAATTTTGATAGTAACAAATAATCTCATTCAAATTGAAAAGGAATGCCAGGAAATTAAGACTTGCTCCATTTAGGGCATTACCATTGCAGGCAGGGCTAGGCAGCAGGGAATATAATGCAGTTCAGGGACTGTGAGAGGAATTCTAGACTTGCTTCATTTAGGGCATTACCATAGCAGAGAGGGCTAGGCAGCAGGGAATATAATGCAGTTCAGGGACAGTGAGAGGAATTCTAGACTTGCTTCATTTAGGGCATTACCATTGCAGAGAGGGCTAGGCAGCAGGGAATATAATGTGGTTCAGGGACAGTGAGAGGAATTCTAGACTTGCTTCATTTAGGGCATTACCATTGCAGAGAGGGCTAGGCAGCAGGGAATATAATGCAGTTCAGGGACTGTGAGAGGAATTCTAGACTTGCTTCATTTAGGGCATTACCATTGCAGAGAGGGCTAGGCAGCAGGGAATATAATGCAGTTCAGGGACTGTGAGAGGAATTCTAGACTTGCCTTATTTAGGGCATTACCATTGCAGAGAGGGCTAGGCAGCAGGGAATATAATGTGGTTCAGGGACAGTGAGAGGAATTCTAGACTTGCTTCATTTAGGGCATTACCATTGCAGAGAGGGCTAGGCAGCAGGGAATATAATGTGGTTCAGGGACAGTGAGAGGAATTCTAGACTTGCATTACCATTGCAGAGAGGCATTAGGCCAGGGAATATAATGTGCTTCAGGGACAGTGAGGGAATTCTAGGAAGGCATAATGTGGTTCAGGGACAGTGAGAGGAATTCTAGACTTGCTTCATTTAGGGCATTACCATTGCAGAGAAGGCTAGGCAGCAGGGAATATAATGTGGTTCAGGGACAGTGAGAGGAATTCTAGACTTGCTTCATTTAAGGCATTACCATTGCAGAGAGGGCTAGGCAGCAGGGAATATAATGTGATTCAGGGACAGTGAGAGGAATTCTAGACTTGCTTCATTTAGGGCATTACCATTGCAGAGAGGGCTAGGCAGCAGGGAATATAATGTGGTTCAGGGACAGTGAGAGGAATTCTAGACTTGTTTCATTTAGGGCATTACCATTGCAGAGAGGGCTAGGCAGCAGGGAATATAATGTGGTTCAGGGACAGTGAGAGGAATTCTAGACTTGCTTCATTTAGGGCATTACCATTGCAGAGAGGGCTAGGCAGCAGGGAATATAATGTGGTTCAGGGACAGTGAGAGGAATTCTAGACTTGCTTCATTTAGGGCATTACCATTGCAGAGAGGGCTAGGCAGCAGGGAATATAATGTGATTCAGGGACAGTGAGAGGTATTCTAGACTTGCTTCATTTAGGGCATTACCATTGCAGAGAGGGCTAGGCAGCAGGGAATATAATGTGGTTCAGGGACAGTGAGAGGAATTCTAGACTTGCTTCATTTAGGGCATTACCATTGCAGAGAGGGCTAGGCAGCAGGGAATATAATGTGGTTCAGGGACAGTGAGAGGAATTCTAGACTTGCTTCATTTAGGGCATTACCATTGCGGAGAGGGCTAGGCAGCAGGGAATATAATGCAGTTCAGGGACTGTGAGACTGACTCATCTACGCAACGTAGGACTTACTTCCATGAAAAACAGCTTCTTCTCTTTAGCTGTCCTCAACACTTCCTTGGTCTGTACCGAGGTCAAGGTCAATGGTTTCTCACACAAGACATGTTTGCCAGCACCAAGACACAACAGACACTGCTTATAGTGTTCTGGATGGATGGCCCCAATGTAAACAATGTCTGAAAGAAGCAAAACTTATGAAATTTTCACCACTTAGGGGCCGTTCATAATTTATGGCTAGGGGTTGATGATAATTTATATGGAGAAGCGTGTACAATGTAAATGACCACCCCCCTAATATTTATGGACAAGGTAAGTGACCCCCACCCCCCCAGCATGTCATGTACAAAATCGACCCCCTTCCCATAATTTTTAAGCATATTTCTTATATTTTTATGTACAAAAATGCTGACCCACCCTCTCTCTCCAGCCCCAGTGAATGTGCTAAAAAATGTTAACCGACCCTCTCTTTCTTCCCCCTATTCCTCCCCTCAAAAAAAAAAAAAAATGGGTGGGTGGGAAACCCCCCAAACAACTACCAGCACCACCACCCCATCCCCCATAAATTTTGAACGGTCCCTTAAGGACAGACATCATCTTTATCGCAACAGAGGCGACGATTAGGTATAGATGGTAACAACGATATCAAGTACGTTATACACAACATTATTGACAAGGAGAATATATACATGAATGATATTTGAGTTTATACAACTGAAAAGGTCGTACAGTGTGATGACATAACTGATACTTGTGATCATCGTAACGGCTCTGAAGCCGGACGTTTTTAATCATACCAGCTTGGAAATGCCACTTGAAGGAGCACTTCCACCTACTCAAGATAACATTGACAGACAATAGTGATCATAGTGTGAACATACAAACTACTTCAGTAGAGTTCAGTATGGTATCATAATTTCAAAAAAAAAAGCCACCTCAAGCTTATCAGATTTGAAACAGCTTGGCCATGAGGTCATCCATTGCCACATAACAGTGTGATCTTAACCAAGCTGAACTTACTTGGCAACACGTAAAGAAAAACATAGTCGTCCAAAAGATATCTCTGAAATTGACAGCTGTCAAAAAATCAAACGTTTCATATGGGACGGCAAACTCTAAACAAAGGAGAATGAAATGACTACAGGTGTCCCAGCTGTCAATGGTGCCACAAATGACTGTGTAGAGTTGCCTCCCTTAGAGAGCCATGATCAATGGCTGACTCCTGGTGTGCCCATATTGTTTCTTGGTTTGTCACAGGGGCCGTTGGGTAGCCAAGTGGTTAAAGCGTGCGCTTGTCACGCTGAAGACCTGGGTTTGATACCCCACATTGGTACAATGTGTGAAACCCATTTCTGGTGTCCCCAACCGTGATATTGCTGGAATATTGCTAAAAGCAGCATAAAACCATACTCACTCACTCACTTGGTTTGTCAGTACCATATTCAAGCTTGTGTGTTTCAAAAAAGTGGTAGAGATGTTAAGGTGGTAACAAAATGTTTAAAGGAGCGTTATTATCTCACTCACTCACTCACTCACCAACATCAGGGTCCTTCACAAGCTCTTCATAACTTCCATAGGAAGACTTTATCCCAAACTTGTCGGCAAATTCCTTGGCTCTGTCAGCTGATCGGGCAGCTACCGCAACTACCTGTGTGTGAGCACATTCACATCTTTATGATTGTTATTAAACACTGCACTTAGGCAAGTACATATTCTTACATATGTTGGTTGTCAAACACTGCACTTAGGCAAGTACATATTCTTACATCTGTTGGTTGTCAAACACTGCACTTAGGCAAGAACATATTCTTACATATGTTGGTTGTCAAACACTGCACTTAGGCAAGAACATATTCTTACATATGTTGGTTGTCAAACACTGCACTTAGGCAAGAACATATTCTTACATATGTTGGTTGTCAAACACTGCACTTAGGCAAGAACATATTCTTACATATGTTGGTTGTCAAACACTGTACTTAGGCAGGTACATATTTTCTTACATAGGTTGGTTGTCAAACACTGCACTTAGGCAAGAACATATTCTTACATATGTTGGTTGTCAAACACTGCACTTAGACAAGAACATATTCTTACATATGTTGGTTGTCAAACACTACACTTAGACAAGAACATATTCTTACATATGTTGGTTTCAAACACTGCACTTAGACAAGAACATATTCTTACATATGTTGGTTGTCAAACACTGCACTTAGACAAGAACATATTTCTTACATATGTTGGTTGTTGAACACTACACTTAGGCAAGTACATATTTCTTACATATGTTGGTTGTCAAACACTGTACTTAGGCAAGAACATAATTCTTACATATGTTGGTTGTCAAACACTGCACTTAGACAAGAACATATTCTTACATATGTTGGTTGTCAAACACTGCACTTAGACAAGAACATATTCTTACATATGTTGGTTGTCAAACACTGCACTTAGACAAGAACATATTCTTACATATGTTGGTTGTCAAACACTGCACTTAGGCAAGAACATATTCTTACATATGTTGGTTGTCAAACACTGCACTTAGGCAGGCAAGTACATATTCTTACATATGTTGGTTGTCAAACACTGCACTTAGGCAAGAACATATTCTTACATATGTTGGTTGTCAAACACTGCACTTAGGCAAGAACATATTCTTACATATGTTGGTTGTCAAACACTGCACTTAGGCAAGAACATATTCTTACATATGTTGGTTGTCAAACACTGCACTTAGGCAAGAACATATTCTTACATATGTTGGTTGTCAAACACTGCACTTAGACAAGAACACAATTCTTACATATGTTGGTTGTCAAACACTGTACTTAGGCAGGTACATATTTCTTACATAGGTTGGTTGTCAAACACTGCACTTAGGCAAGAACATATTCTTACATATGTTGGTTGTCAAACACTGCACTTAGACAAGAACATATTCTTACATATGTTGGTTGTCAAACACTACACTTAGACAAGAACATATTCTTACATATGTTGGTTTCAAACACTGCACTTAGACAAGAACATATTCTTACATATGTTGGTTGTCAAACACTGCACTTAGACAAGAACATATTTCTTACATATGTTGGTTGTTGAACACTACACTTAGGCAAGTACATATTTCTTACATATGTTGGTTGTCAAACACTGTACTTAGGCAAGAACATAATTCTTACATATGTTGGTTGTCAAACACTGCACTTAGACAAGAACATATTCTTACATATGTTGGTTGTCAAACACTGCACTTAGACAAGAACATATTCTTACATATGTTGGTTGTCAAACACTGCACTTAGACAAGAACATATTCTTACATATGTTGGTTGTCAAACACAGCACTTAGGCAAGAACATATTCTTACATATGTTGGTTGTCAAACACTGCACTTAGGCAAGTACATATTTCTTACATCTGTTGGTTGTCGAACACTACACTTAGACAAGAACATATTCTGACATATGTTGGTTGTCAAACACTGCACTTAGACAAGAACATAATTCTTACATATGTTGGTTGTCAAACACTGTACTTAGGCAAGTACATATTTCTTACATAGGTTGGTTGTCAAACACTGCACTTAGGCAAGAACATATTCTTACATATGTTGGTTGTCAAACACTGCACTAAGGCAAGTACATATTTCTTACATAGGTTGGTTGTCAAACACTACACTTAGGGAAGAACATATTCTTACATATGTTGGTTGTCAAACACTGCACTTAGACAAGAACATATTCTTACATATGTTGGTTGTCAAACACTGCACTTAGGCAAGAACATATTCTTACATATGTTGGTTGTCAAACACTGCACTTAGACAAGAACATATTCTTACATATGTTGGTTGTCAAACACAGCACTTAGGCAAGAACATATTCTTACATATGTTGGTTGTCAAACACTGCACTTAGGCAAGTACATATTTCTTACATCTGTTGGTTGTCGAACACTACACTTAGACAAGAACATATTCTTACATATGTTGGTTGTCAAACACTGCACTTAGACAAGAACATAATTCTTACATATGTTGGTTGTCAAACACTGTACTTAGGCAAGTACATATTTCTTACATAGGTTGGTTGTCAAACACTGCACTTAGGCAAGAACATATTCTTACATATGTTGGTTGTCAAACACTGCACTTAGGCAAGTACATATTTCTTACATAGGTTGGTTGTCAAACACTGCACTTAGGCAAGAACATATTCTTACATATGTTGGTTGTCGAACACTGCACTTAGACAAGAACATATTTCTTACATATGTTGGTTGTCGAACACTACACTTAGGCAAGTACATATTTCTTACATAGGTTGGTTGTCAAACACTGCACTTAGGCAAGAACATATTCTTACATATGTTGGTTGTCAAACACTGCACTTAGCAAGTACATATTTTTACAAGTACATATTTCTTACATATATTTGTTGTCGAACACTGCACTTAGGTGAACACATACCAATTGTTACATATGTTTGTTGTTTAAAGCTGCAGAGGGGTTGCTCCTACCACATCCCCATTTTCGGCTTTCAATTGACTTGCAGAAATAACGATAAAGAATTGGTAGGTGTCACGAGTGGTGATTGATAGGCCAATCATCCATGATTATGTTTACATTAAGTTTTAATTGATTGCAAGCAATGGTAGCGTAGCGATCGGCAAAGCAGGTGGGTGGGGTACAGCGAAGTGTCCCGCCTTGTCATGATTTATTGGAATGTGAAGCATTTCGAGTCAGGGGTCATCTCAAATGTTTTTTAAACAAATTTCTTAATCTTTAATCCTCACAATGACACTAGGGCCTGTGCCAATTGACTCTATTCCCCCTTCTTGGTCACAACATACCTAAACCCAACAAGCAGACAAGAATGATTACAGAACAACCAGTGATCAACATTATGAACAACAAGTCAACCTGTTGGGGTACCAATCAAGTCACCGAGCCTCTCCATCTGATCTATACAGTTGCCTCAACAACCAATGGAAGTTATTTGGACCTACCTTAAATAAGGAATTACAACAAGAGCAACATTTACAGTTTTGAAAAATATTATTTGGTCAGGTTAAACATGTGTAGAATGTACTGTTATCTTTGTTGCAGAAAAGTGCAATCCCATTGTCGTATGACATCATGCAGTGAGGTGAAACGTCATGCTTGAGAACATTTCGCTCATATGACGACGTGCATGCCTGTGTATGTGTGGCTGCTTGTACTAGCCCAGACTTAAGCTGGGTTTATAGTGCTAGCTCACTGGGATACCATGCCGCTGTTAAGGCCAAAAAATAAAAATGTTGTGGTTCCGATTACACCTCTTTAAAATTTAGGGTAGGTAGGATTTCTTTTTCCTTTTTTTTTCACATTTTTTTAGAAGCAGAGTACGAACTAATAACACATTTATCAATGTGTAATTGTTTATTCAATCAAGCTTTCGGCCATCATGTCGACTTTCTTTATCAGAATGACCAATGTTTGTTGGGCCCATGAAAAAACAATGGTATCTGAAAGCTTATTCTATTCATACCCTTAAAAAAACTAGGGTTGGCACCAGAATTCAAGAGTCGGTCGGGTAATCGGACCCACAACAATTTTTTTTAGGCCTAAGCATGAATAACCTACTCAGAAACATTATACTGACCCAACGTAGAGAAGATCAGATGGATATGGTGTAACACTAGAATGCTACCTTTGGCCAGGTAAATAACAGCTGATAACATAGAAACTGACAAAGGAATGGGAAAACTACATATTTTTCTTCACACAGCTTATTTCTAGGCTGTTTTCATATTTGCAGTTATTGTGGCTTCATATGTTTGATCAAGTAAAAATAGAAACATGTTTGACCTAGTTCAGTAACCCATGCTTGTTGTAAGAGGGGACTAACGGGATCAGGCGTGCTGACTGGGTTGACAAGTCATCCTATCCCCATTGCATAGATCGATGCTCATGCTGTTGATCACTGGATTGTCTAGACCAGGCTTGATTATTTACAGACTGCTGGAATATTGCAGAGTGCTGCGTTAAACAACAAACCAACCAACCAAATCATTCCCATCACAGGAAATGCTCCTTTTTTCTCTCACATGGTCATACTGTAATAAATTCACCAATGAAGTTTTTCAAGTGTACATGCTTGTTCCTTTACCTGATGCTCCTCTGGGTTTTGACTGACAAGAGCTGAGGTGAAGTCATGGGATATCGCCCCAGCACTAAGGATTCCCCATCTGGTTGCCATGGTGATGTGTCTTTCACCTGCAAAGTTCAAGATTAAAAGAAGCATGAGTGAAAGAATATTACTTAGCCACTTTCAGTCACATCAGGGATGGAAATAAAATTGCTCGTGTACTCCGGTACAGTGGCACATGTAAAATCACTTGCCCTGATATGTTCTCCACTATACCGTCCGTTTTATTGTTGATTTTTAAACAAACAACATAATTAACGTTGGAAATCAACTGGACACCGGTGCAGTGTGATATACAAATTTGCTTATCCAACAGAAAAAAACACTGGACTCGGATGTCGGGCAATTTATTTCCACCCCTGCACATTCAAGCAACATCACACCTGGCGGATCGTTAAATTAAGTTTAAGCAGTGATTTATGTTGAGTCCTGTATTTGAGGGTCCCTGGGACTCATACTGTTAATTTTCAGGGGTCCTGGACAACAAAATGGGGGTCCCAGACACTTAAATATTATTATTAATACTACTGGCAAACAAGAATAAGTTGAGCACCAACCTGACAGTTGACCCGTATAATGAGTAGTCTAGTGGTTAAAGCGTTCGCTTGTCAAGCCAAAAACCTGGGTTCAATTCCCCACATGGGTAAAATGTGCTGAGCCCATTTCTGGTGTCCCCAGCCATGATATTGTTGGAATATTACTAAAAGCGGCGTAAAACCCAACTCACTCACTCACTCACCCATATTCAGGCATACTTAATGATTTACACCAATAACTTACACTGCGTTAAAATGCATATGTATGGAGAGAAGGCATCTCCCACATTCACCACTAACAGTATGGTCTGGCGTAGTGCCCTTAACTCCAAGTGAGTGAGTTAGTGAGTTTAGTTTTACGCCGCTTTTAGCAATATTCCAGCAATATCACGGCGGGGGACACCAGAAATGGGCTTCACACATTGTACCCATGTAGGGAATCGAACCCGGGCCTTCGGCGTGACGAGCGAACGCTTTAACCATTAGGCTACCCCACCGCCCCCCTTAACTCCAAGAAAATGCTTACATGCTAATAGGTGTACAGATTCTATTTCCTCACAGGTGTCAATACTCCATATTTCTGCACCATACAAGTGTACCAACAAAACTTTAGTGTCAAATATCCTAGAATACACTTTAAATGGAATGGGTTTAAGATATACAAGAGATTTTAAAAAAGAATAAAATACATGCCTGACCTGAGATACAACATTAACAATATGCTTGTTCCAACTTAAAGTACAAGAAGAGTGAGTGAGTGAGTTTAGTTTTACGCCACACTCAGCAATATTCCTGTTATATAGCGGTGGTCTGTAAATAATCGAGTCTGGACCAGACAATCCAGTGATCAACAACATAAGCATCGATCTGCGTAATTGGGAACCGATGACATGTGTCAACCAAGTCAGCGAGCCTGACCACCCAATCCCATTAGTCGCCTCTTATGACAAACATCCCAGCAGGCACATCAACGTTGTTTCAACGTTGAGAATAGGTTGGTCCTCAACGTTGAAATTAGATTGAAAATAGGTTGTATATGAAAGTTTTTTAGACGTAGATGTCCGACGTGGAATCAACGTTGAAGTTTGACCTATTATCAACGTTGAAAAAAGGTTGTATATGAAAGTTTTTTAGACGTAGATATCCGACGTTGAATCAACGTTGAAGTTTGACATATTATTAACGTTGAAAATGGGTTGTTCCGTGGTTGTGTCTCGGGTGGTATTACGCTTTCCTGTAAATAGACTCGCACTTCATCTTTAAACTACACTAAAGTAGCACCAAACTCATGCATCCAGCTAAAATACCCCAAAAGCTACCTGCAATAAACAGTGTTCAAACATAAAATTGCTGTAAAAATATTTACCTGATAAAATACTTGGTTAAAATTCCACATTCAATATAATGTTCATTTATGTTTTATGTCAGTTGGACGTATAATTCCCATAAGAAGAAAAGAGTATTCCAAATTAAGAAAAACTATTTACTGTTGTATTGTTATCTTGAAAAGGTGGAAATTGCCCCGAGAAGACATTTTGTCTGAATTTCAGCTATTAGACAGACCCCTGAATAAACACAATGCAATTACTTTCACCATCAAAGGGATCCAAGATGAACAGGAACTATACTTGAAGACAGCACATAAAACCAGTCAATTTTTATGAAATCTTTATGAACACAAACGCGCACAGAGAAACGTGGTTTAAAGCATAATGTAAAACATCACACATGACATAGTCTGTAGGTGATCTCTGTTGTGATAATAACACAATATCATCTGCATATAGCATTAAACTGACATATAGCTTCTCTTCTTTCTGCCACTCCCTGCCTGGCGGTCAGGTGGATACTTCAGAAACGTTCCTAACGCTTTCTTGAAATTTGCTTCGGATGCATTCCCATCTCATTCCCATGAGATAGGACACGTTCTGAAATTTTATATTTAAATACATGAATAATTTCATATGGAAGATATATTGTCTTAAATGATTCAAGTATTTGTTTAATCAATCACTTGGTTCATTATACTGCTGTAACTTGCCATGTGAACATATGAACAGCATCAATACAAAATGTGACGAAAAATGTAAACAATTTATATTTTCAACTAAAGGAATGGAAGTTTTCTTAAACATTTTCAAAGAAAATCCTCAATTGCAAGTTGATTATTCAATTAGACTAGGAATTAGGATGAATTAGACGATGCTTTACTGTCATATATTATTTGCTATGGTCATGATAAAATGCTGCATTTGGTAATTAAATTACCAGAGATGATTGAATACAACCTTGTATTCTTAAAAGAAAGCTTGCCGTTTTGCCCATCAACATTCATTCTTGACATCAAATTGTTTGACATTGTCCTGCAAAACAATGGAAGATTGTTGTTAGTCTGTCAGATTTAGTTTTCTTTACAGATTCTCGGAAACGATTATTTCAAATTTAATAGGAGTTGTACTGATGTAGAAATTTTGCTAACAGGAGTCATAAATTGTAACAAAAGCCATTTTACATTAAATGATAAGAAAACAAAATGGGTGGTGGTTCACAGGTCAAAGAACAAGTCTATTGTGGAAGGTCTTCCAACACCATTTATTCCCAAACACAAGGAAGTATGGATCATGGAGTTCTGAAAACAACAATGAGCTCTCATAAGTATACAATATATTCCCTATTATCTACTCTGTCTCTCTTTGTCATTTGTACACTCATAAAACTCAGATAAATAACTTCTTCATAATTCAGAAATGTTTACACTTAATCTCTTATAGGAACGCTTAGAAAATCTCTCATATAATGAATTATGTGTGCCTATAATATCTGCGACGTCATAACTATGCTTCTCTGAATCATGAACAATAAAATAATAACTACACTGCCAGAAATAATCTATCATACCCTGAATAATAAGACACTGAATAACATCTCTTACAACTCCAATCTACACTCAAAAAGACTTAAATGTACTCGTAAACAAACATCGCTGGCACACGCAAATTCTTGGAAACAGTGTATCTCTGACTCTCAATTCCAAGAAATGGAAGTCCTACTCTATTTGACCAAAAGGGTGACAGGTGGCCAAAACATATTGAAATGTAGGTCATACACTGAAAATAACACTACAAATATACACCTTCTCTCTAATATACTCGATAGATGATCTTGACAAGGGAACATGTACATAAAATGCTGATATCTAACAATACCTGTACTCTAAATAATGGACTCTTCCAAATCTCAGTATGTTTCACTGCACACACATTTAAATGCAAAATAATGAAAACCCTACACTTTGACAATAATAAAGAAACATCATATTTAAATTCTACAGCTGACCAAATACCTGAAGAGTGTGTCTCCCAGCAATAAACATCTATATATCTCTATAAATTTATTACTTCTGTCCTCTCGCGTGCTTTCTCGCATCCAGCTCTTTACGGCGAAAAACACAATATGGCCATGCAAGGGAGTGCTCATTAAACTAAACATCTCCGGGAGAAATCATTGTCAATTTATTCTCTTACATGATCAACCTTTGTGGTGGATATACTGAAAACAAGTGAAATGTTAAAAACTTGTTACCTTAGCATTGCTCCTTTTATGTGATCCACAAAATTGATGCCACCCAGTCTTCGAAGATGAGATTTCTGCAAATTCCATTAAAATTATATCTTATTTCATAATTAAATGTTCCTTACTAAATTACTTCTTTTGTATGTAACATTTTAACCTTTAAGAGACATGAATCATCACATCCCTTCCAAACAAGTGTAAGAATGAAAGTCTGTGAGTGCAGTTTTGTTAATTGTCCCATCAAAGAATTATTAGTGACGTTACACATTTTGTAAATAAATAAAAGTTCAAATAAATTATATGCAATTTCATCCTTAACAAAGACTTGCACAAGACATTTTGATGTGAATTTTCGTTGCATGATCTGAAAAAGATTTCCTTTCGCCATTCTCCACCCCCCACCCCCAAAATACGCATATGTTGACAGGGTTCAGAGCGTGCTCAATGCATAATTTACTGATAGACTTATTCAAACGAACAAATGTTCATAATAATGGCATGCAATATAAAATGTTGATAAAGTCTATTCGATTTTGTATAGCTGCCCTTAGGGACCGTTCATAATGTATGGCTTGGGGGTGATTATGATTTTTATGAAGAAGCATGTAGAATGTGAATTACCCTCCCCCGTTAAGTGTATGTACGAAATAAGTGACGCCCCACCCTGCATGTCATGTACAATATCTATGACGCCCTCTCCCCTTCCCATAATTTCTAAGCATCATATTAAACATAGTGCGTGTGTACAAAAATGCTGACCCCCTTAGCTCCCCTGAACAAAAAGGGTGACACCCCCACACACACACACCCCTTACAATCATCACCCCCACCCGCAGCCATATAATTATGAATGGTCCCTTATATTGTTGTGCTTCATTGATTATTTGAAAATGTATATTTGCAAAATTCAAATCAGGTGATGGGTACGAAAGGAAATCTTATTCGATTATATAATAAAATGCCAAATATATGCATGCAAATATATTGAAAAATAACAAAACAAGTTCATGGAAAACACGGGCTTCCACTAAATTTTGAGAAACATGTACGTGACATACCGGTACCCTTGTGAGATAAAACATGAGCCCTAATTCGGAGTTTCTTGCTACATTGACCTGCTAGATTTAAACAACATTCCTACGTTTTCATTATACATGAAGGACATACTTACCAAATAAACACCAGCATGCCGTGAAGATGTTGAAAATAGAACGATATTGCGTTGAACTTCGCCAAAGTAAACTGACAACGATCAGCTGCCTTTGCGCGCGCGATAATTGTGCGCATGTCCGGATATGGCCAAACGAGGCGATCTGGCATGTGTTTGAAAGCAAATTGTCGGGAATTATACAATTTTGACAGTTTTGTGGGAGAATATCAAATGTAATGCAATTTGGATAACTGATGACTTTATACCTAAAATCATTGATGTTTTCATTTTCAATTGCGATTTACGTAATATTTCCGTCCGTTGATCGATGCACAATCAAACAATATATAAGATTATATGTGTCACTAGCTCGATCTTGATCTTTTTATGAAATTAATGTTCCGAAATGATAGTTGCTGAGTTGGATACCTATTACCAATATGAATTATGTTTCAAATTTGCCAAGGAAACAATTAGTTGACATTTTGTTGGTTCCTTACGTTGAAACAACGTTGACAACTAAACGAATCTCGACTAACTTTCTTTGGTCACATGATAAACGTTGAATCAACGTTTATGAAAGGTTGATCAACCAAACAACCAAAATTCAACGTTGATTCAACGTTGATTCAACGTTGTGTGCCCGCTGGGATGGGTTACTGAAGGTCAATATTCTAATCTGTACCTTCACAGGGCTAAAGTACTAGAAGAAAAACAACAACACCTAAATCAGGGTTTTACACAGACTTTTAAAAATGGGAATCATGGTGACTCACAATATTCATTTTTGGGAGTCATTTTTAATATTTTGGGAGTCATGAAAATTTTAATATTTCTTTGTGTTAATCATTTTCAGTATGTAACTGTCTATGTAACACCACCAAATGAAACAACAGCATTGTTCAGTTCAAACAGGCACGATTACTGTCACAGTCTCCTCTGAGTACTCTGGAACAATCTGACAGCTCTGTAAAAGTCAAACTATCATCGAACAATATCATTTTTCGCTTATCAAATCAATGTTTTTTTAACTGAATTGTGAGGGCCACCCATAAAACTTGCGTCAAGCTTGACTCGTACGATAATATTTTGAGAGTCGTTTACAAAATTGTTGCGTCAAATACGCAGGAATCACGGGTCATGTAAAACTCTGCTAAATACTCGTAAGAAGTAACACATGACAAACGTCTTCAACAGTAATGCCCCCTTTTTACACAACATCAAACATGAATACTTGTGCAACCAGAGGTACAGATAAGCTGCGTATTTGCTTAAATAAAGATTTATGTGAAAGGTGAGGCGAGGTGAGGTGAAATTGGGTTTAACGTCGTGCTTGAGAATATTTTGCTCATATGACGACGTGCATGCGTGTGTATGTGTATGTGCGGCTGCTTGTACTAGCCCAGACTGAAGCTGGTTTTATAGTGCTAGCCCACTGAGATACCATGCCGCAGTGAAGCATGACTACCCCACTCAGACACATTATACTGACTCCGAGCCGACCAGTCCTTGTTGTAACCATTAATGCCGAGCGCCAGGCAGGGACCAACAAGTACCATATTTTAACGTCTTTTGGTATGACGGGGTCAGGGATCGAACCCGCGACCTTCCGCTCTCCAGGCGGACGCTCTAACCACTACACCACTGAGGTGGTCATTTATGTGAAAACACAATACAAGTACGCTTGACTTTATGTAAATACTCAATAAATTTGATCTTACATGCGTACACACAAAATAGATAAAATAACTGAGGTATATTGAGAGGTTCTACTTTAGCACATGAACTTTGCAACTTGCAGTCTTTCTGGTCGTCTCATATAACAGATCAAATTTATATAACAAACACATAAACCAACATTTAAACTTTATGATATGTTAACAATTAATGGAAAAAGGCAACATACACAATTAAGGTCGAGTGAGGTGGGTGCAGTTTATTTGGTTATGCAAAGGAAAGTTAGGATACCCCATTGAGATGAACACAAGCGAGGACAAAACTCAGTGACCCAAAATCTGCAGCTCTGTCCAACCATCACTGAAGCAATCATATTGCATAAATGTACATGTAGCAGTATACCCATACAATAGTTTTAAAGTCATATGTTGTAAAATGTCAGGCACATTCGTTAGGCTGTCTTACAGTTCCTGAACCACATTATTTTCTCTACTGCCTCGACCTCCTAATAAATCCCTAAATGATGCAAGTCTAGATTCCCTCAGATTTCCCACCTGACTGGGGCTCCTGTTCAATTAAAAAACACTTCATAATAAAAAGAACAAAATATAATGAAAAGGAGCACTGACACTTTCTTCAGTCATGAAACTGAGGAAATATAGACTTGCCACATATTGTTGACATGCATGGGTTTTCTTGGATATGTTGTGATGATGATTTTTAGGAAGAAGCATGTACAAATTTGAATGTTTTCCCCTAAAATTTAAGTACAAAGTAAGTGAAGTCCCTACTACCTTTCCCATCCCCTCCTGCATGTCATGTACAAAAGTTATGGCCCCCACCACTCCATAAATTTTAAGCATAAATCTCTTGCAAAAAATGGGTGACACACAAGTCCCCACCCCCATTCATAGGCGATCGATGATGGGATACGCCCTTATACTACTATAAAGTAGTATAAGGAGCGTATTCCATGCATCGATCGCCTGTTCGCCTGTGCCCCCACCCCACCCCCTCACAATCATCATCACCCACCCTAGCCATAAATTATGAACGTTCCCTACGTTCATGTGCTCGTAGATACACATTATTTAGGTAGAATTCACTGTGCGTTTATGACAGTCATCGTCTCGTAGAAAAGTCACATGATTCAGATGCAAATTGCAATCTACTTTGCGTTGGATTGCATCTTATGATGTACATCTACGAGGCGAAGCATTCAGCATCTAACCAGTACTTTACCAACAAATATTTGTTGTGATAATGCTGTTAGATCAGCTGTAGTGTGTCGACAGTCTGCCGTTTGATCATCTACCTTTTAGAAAACCACGTTCGTGTCGAGTCCAGAAACGTGGTACCAGGTACTTTTGTTATGTAGGAGTTACCTCCCTTCATCTGAACTTTCTGCACGATCAATCACAGCCCGTTGCGACTGAATGAAATAGCAATATTTCAACTTTTTCTGGATGCACGTTCATGTTATTAACACTTTATTTCTTTTTTCATTCTATTTGTTAATGATTCCTGCCTACAATATTCCCCGAAAGTAAATATCAATTTCAAGAGTGAAATATAACTGTCAACAAACTACATAACGTTTTGTTGAACTTAAAGTGAGTGAGTGAGTTAAGATTTTAAGTCACATCGGCAATATTTCAGCCATATCGTGACTATAAACAAGTTGTGAATTCACCATTAATACATATAAATTATAAAAACCTGCCGACGAAGGGAGTATGGTGACCATATTATAATGTCTAATAAAAAGAATATTCATATTCTTTAACCTTTATGTTTTCTTTTTCAAATCTCGGTATGTGTGGCAGTGTGAGTACAGCACGTTCTAATTATCAATGAAACTTTAAAAGTTGTCAATGAATTTGGATCATGAAAAGTAGTTCCGTCAACCAATCATATTTCTTCTCTGCTTAGCTGACCAATCAACGTTGAGTATAATATAATCACCTGCGTATCCTAGCCCGTATGGGTAATAAATTACTTTTGCTACCTGCATGGACCCTAGTTGGATTTACATCATTCCTTCAGCTGTCAGCAATTTTTGACAATCTAGCCGTAAATTAAAAGAACATATATGCTACGATTAAAAATAACTGTAGGTTTAAATCTACCTGGAATGCTTTTGGACTTACGTACCTTGAACTTAAAGGGATTTTGTTGGTATAAATAGTACACGGAATCAAATGTCAGATAACATGTAACTCCATTTTATTTCTTCGCAGCAGCAGTTTGCGTGAGCGGTCATGAATGAGTGCTTGTCGTTTTCCTCGGCATACGTCAATTTGTCATCTAACATATATTTTTGCTTACATCTGTCATCCATATTTAAAGCCCGATATATAAACGGAATAAGCTATGTTAACGTATCACCAACTGAATAAAATGTATTAAAGTGTCATCACTTGGATACGCTAAATTTGAATTAGGGTCTTTGAAGGGTATTGGCTGCAGATTTGGGGTAGATCGGCCCCTGGGCAGGACTAGCTAAACACGAATGCACATTTCAAATGATACACCATAATGTCTTCAAATGCAACATGTCGTAATATAACGTACAGGTGAATTTCACAATAGAACTTGCAATTTCATCATTTATCAATATTCAAGGTGCGTTTACATTGTGGTAAAATGGTACAATCAATGAAGTCTATCTCGTGCAAATGAAATTGTTTTTTCAATGACATATGCTATGGTCCATAATTTTCTTAAATACTTTCCTCTTATTAAGTTTATTGTACAAGTTTAAGAAGAGTTTTAAACGGATATATAAGACAGAGAATAAAGGTTCAATATTTTAGCTACTTGCTGAGTATGAATTGTTTTTAATAACTTAATCAACACCCGATTCGAACGAGTCACATCAGAGACCATATAATCTGGTCACATGGAAACAATCTGATAATTTCTTGAATTGCTTTTAGCAGTATATGGACGTGTACCGGCATGTTGTTGCCCAAAAACACGTGCCTACAAATAACGGTATTTGCATTATGGGAAAACATTTTGACAGTTATACTGTAACGAAATGAATTTATTGTTATCATTTTCACAGTACTTTTAGTTTAGGTATATTTGTAATTCGTTAAAGCGAAGCCTGTATTTCATGGATACCGCAAGGTTCCGGAAGTGCCTGACACTGTGAAGAGTTCTGTCGCGTAAGTCGGTCACTTGAACCCATAGCGAGGCACTGCGTGGGAGTTTGATCGGTAGCGAAGAAACGAGAGACCTCATGGAAAAAGGGTGTCGCTGTAAGAAGCTTGACGTCGGTAGGATCGGTGTTAGGAGTTTACATCGAATGATATTTTCAAAATGGCTGCCTCCATGGAAAGCATTAATCGTCTGCTAGCGTCAGGGCAGTACAGGCCTTTGTTGGCTTTACTGAAAGGATTCAGAAATGGAGTTGTGTGAGTAATATCTCAAAACCTTCTTAGTATTTATTAAGAAAATTGCATTTCGAACGCTATTAGACGAAGGTTTGTTGCGACTATTTGAGCCGTAACCAGCTGATGCTGATAATGATATATCTTGTCACTGTTAGTTGTGGTAACTTCTTGTTTGGATATAATCGACTCAGTCCAAAGTTCAAACCATGTTAAAGGAACTATGCTCGGTTGCCTGCTTGTTGCAATATATCTTCATAAAAAAGACATAAGTCCCTTGAAGATGTGATATACATCATTTATCACATACATAGTATCATGGGTATTGTTTGCACAACACAGGTGTGGTTAGTTACATTTTATTCAGTAATGTTGACATTGTTGTCATCGATAAAGATATCAAATTATTTGCAATGAGGAAAAATGTCAAACATTGTTTCAATCTTATAACAGGATAGATACAATATATCTTGATCCATTCCATTATGAAACAGGACTTATCTGCCAGCATTGCTTCATATTGGAAGTGATATTCCAAGTATAATCTCTTTATTATTAACGTAGTACAACATATCTCTCTGAGCTGGAGATAAAAAACCCAATCAAAATGACTCTTCACAATAAAAGTTGGCATATATACATCCAATCTGGCCATCATCTATGCAAGCCATGAATGTAAATAAACAAACCACAAGATTGTCATGAATTCATAATTATACAACATCAAACAATGTTTTGAGTACTTTATTCATTTGTTGTTTAAAGCTAATTAAATATTCTGGTTAAATGATAACGACTTGGAATTAATGGTATCTGGACCAGACCTTCCAGTGATAGACATCACTGTATTATGCAGTTTGGATTCTATGGCATGCAAGTGAGTAAGTCACACTACTAGATCCTGTTTGTTGCTTCGTACAACAAATGTTGGTTTGCTGAAGATCAGTTCTAACTCAGATTTCATGCTGTTCCTGAATACTATAACAGGATGAAGATGGTATAAGGATTTAGCCAATATCAATTGGATATGGTAAAAATCTATACTATACAGACACCAGTACTGTTTCCAATTTCCATTTGATGGCATGTCATCATACCCTGATGGTGTGGATCGTTTTCATAATACCAGTTACTGGATTGTCTGTTCCTGACACCATTATTTATGTTCTTTGTGGGGTATTATTTATGTGCTACCGTCATAATATATTAAATATTGCTGACTAAGGCTGTAACGATTCACTCACATATTTTGTGAATCGATATGTAGCCCTTCATGAATTCAATTCGTTATTCGTGATCACCAGAACCGAATATTAACGAATATTTACGATTTTTTTAAGGGAGCATGTTTTACTTGAACCCTTGTGTACTTTTGGAAAGTGAGATATGCAAGGATTGAATATGTACTAGCCTTGCAGTAGCGCAAGTCATGTTAGTTTGCCTAGGCCGCACATGGTACTGTCGACTATAACTATTACATACCAAATTTGAGTGTCATGAGATCACTGGTTATTGCTGTGACAAATCAAAACTGTCAAAATGGGCGTTCCATATTCTACATCAATCACTTAACTACAATACTGTATTCGTGAATAATTATTTGTATTCATTACCCAATATTCATGATACGTATCATATTCGCCACATAGTGTATTCGTTGCAGCCCTATTGCTGAGTGTATTGTTTCACTACAACAACATAAAAAGACTCATGTGATATATTGCTTATGTTTCATTGCAAAATACGAAAAAAAGGAGACAAGCATTTGGTGGTAGAGACGTGCATGGAGCAATTGAGATATCCTGATTGTAAAAGGCGACAATAAATTATGTGGGGATTCTAGGTCAGAATGGGTCTCCATGAGCATATTTTCATTGTAATGAATGGGATCAGGTGGGTCAATGAGTCAGGCTCAGTAAATTGGTTTATAGTATGCAGGGTTCGATTTAGTGCTTTGTTACTTGCACTGGTGCAACCCAATATTACGAAGTGCAACCTAGTTATTTGTCTAACTTGCCACAGGTGCAAATCAATTTTTGAGTGGGTAAAAATTCTGAATGAAACATCTAATGAATTCAATAGCATATTTCTTTCATTACATACTGCAATAAAAGCAGTGCAAGATGAATTTGGCTGGTGCAACTAGGTTTTTTTTTTATCTTATGTTGCACCCGGTGCAAGTAGGTGAACATCTCTGAAATCGAGCCCTGGTATGTCATTGTGCCCTGGTAATGTGGCACATTGCTCGTGATATTAGTCACTAGATTGTCTGGCCCCAACCTGATTATTTGCAGACCATTTAATACTGCTGGCATTTTGATAAATGCTGTGCAGAACAATAGATAAACAAAACAAACAGAACATAAAAACAGATCAGATTCACTCAATCAGCATACATAATATGGCTCATTTATAATTTTAACTGACAATTATCCAACAAAACTGCTTTCAAATCAAACTAAAAACCACAGTAGTGAACAAAAAACAGTTCTATGCAGATTTAGCACATGTATCTCATACTTCTTTATATTTTCAGATATGGCGCCAAAGTCAGATTTCCACATGCCCTTGTCATGACATTTCTTTTCAAGGGAGGAAGGTAAGATTTGAATTAAGATTAGTGAGTGAGTATGGTGTTATGTCACTTTTAGCAATATTCCAGCCATTTCACGGTGGGGACACCAGAAATGGGCTTCACGCATTGTATCCATGTGGGGAATCGAACCTGGGTCTTTATCAAGATGAGTGTATGCTTTAACCACTAGGCTACACCGGCGCCAATTAAGATTGAATATTTTATGTCTTTGCCCAACATATTACTATATTTGAACATATGATCTTGTTAAAGGTATGGCTTGTGGTTAATTGTTAATAAGCCATCAATTCTACTGGAATTTAGAATTTACACTTTAGAACACATTTAATCAGGGATTTATGTAGGCTAGCTCAGAGGCTGACTTGCCCATAAATATATTGGTAGCCAAACAATGAGTATTGGTTGGGCAGATATTGCCAAATATTGCTATTTTGTAACTAATTTCGAGCCCTTCCTCATGTTGACAGACTGCATGATCAGTTCCGGTCCATACTAGAGGCAACGTTCACACATTCGAGGAACCTGGGCCTGTTTGTGTTGGGTTACAAGACACTGACCACTGGCATGAAGTGGGTGGAGACACAGAAATCACAGCACCACTCCTTCATATCGGCCTTTATCATTGGATACCTGGTGTTTGGCAGATATAACAAAGTCAACGAACAAGTAAGATGATGATACGATTGTATAATCCCCTATCATATATATATATAGTTAATGCTGAAACCTGGGCAATCAGTCAGTCAGTCTGGTGTTTGGCAGATACAACAAAGTCAACGAACAAGTAAGATGATGATACGATTGTATAATGCCCTACCATATATATAGTTAATGCTGAAACCTGGGCAATCAGTCAGTCAGTCTGGTGTTTGGCAGATACAACAAAGTCAACGAACAAGTAAGATGATGATACAATTGTATAATGCCCTACCATATATATATGGTCATACTGAAACCTCGACAATCAGTCAGTCAGTCTGGTGTTTGGCAGATACAACAAAGTCAACGAACAAGTAAGATGATGATATGATTGCATAATCCCCTACCATATATAGTTAATGCTGAAACCTGGGCAATCAGTCAGTCAGTCTGATGTTTGGTAGATACAACAAAGTCAACGAACAAGTAAGACGATGATACGATTGTATAATGCCCTACCATATATATATGGACATGCCGAAACCTGGGCAATCAGTCAGTCAGTCAGTCTGGTGTTTGGCAGATACAACAAAGTCAACGAACAAGTAAGATGATGATACGATTGTATAATCCCCTACCATATATATGGTTAATGCTGAAACCTGGACAATCAGTCAGTCAGTCTGATGTTTGGTAGATACAACCAAGGCAGCGAACAAGTAAGACGATGATAAGATTGTATAATGCCCTACCATATATATATGGACATGCTGAAACCTGGGCAATCAGTCAGTCAGTCTGGTGTTTGGCAGATACAACAAAGTCAACGAACAAGTAAGATGATGATACAATTGCATAATCCCCTACCATATATATATGGTCATACTGAAACCTCAACAATCAGTCAGTCTGGTGTTTTGCAGATACAACAAAGTCAACCATCAAGTAAGGTGATGATATGATTGTATAATCTGAAACCTGGCCAGTCAGTCAGTCAGTCCATCAGTCCGTCGATGTTATAGTCGATTATATCCGACTGATATTTCTGCCATTTCTACCTTCATATTACTATATTGCAAACTACTAAGTGTATGTCATACTCACCCTTAACTTCAGGCAGTGTCTTTGTGCTGTTGTCCTTTCTTTCCAAATGGTGTAGAATGCGAAACTATGGTGACAAAGAGCATGCGGTCTGCTGTTTATAACCTATTCACTCATCAAACATTCATTGATCTTGAAACATGAGAAAACAATAGTTCTCTATTAACATGTTAATGGCAACAGTTTGGAATGTTCCAGAATAATTGTCACATTCATGCATATTTATACTCCCACTTACAAAGTAATGGGGTATATGTAGCGTTCATTCTGTCCTTCCGTCCTCCTGTCCCAAACATTGTCCGGAGCATATCTCTTGATGTTCACATGTTAGGTTCACCAAACATCACACATATACTAAGCATTACCCATAGATGAGCCTTTTGCTATTTTGAAGTTCATCAGAATTATAGTTTTTGCTGTTTCTATGGAAACACAACTTAATGCAAAATGTGTTTGATGGTTATCTTGTCCGGAGCATATCACCGAAACTATACTTGCTAGGTTCACCAAATTTAACACACAAATTCATCATGACTAACAGATGTGCCTTTTGCTATTATAAATTTTATCAGAATGCTATTTTTTACTGTTTCTATGGAAACACAACTTAGCGCAAAACATGTTTGATGGTTATCTTGTCCAGAGCATATCACCAAAACTATACATGCTAGGTTCACCAAACTCTATACACAAGTTAATCATGATCCACAGATGTGCCTTTTGCTATTTTAAAGTTTATCAGAATTTCATTTCCATGTCCCAAAGTGGGGAGCAGGGATATGTGAGCTGTGCTTACTAGTACACTTGTTTGTTATGAATATGATGAAGATAGGAGTTGTATTGATCTTTTACCCTTTAACAGACTGCCCATCTGCTCTGTATAGTGGCGGGGCGGTGGGGTAGCCTAGTGGGTAAAGCATCCGCTCGTCACGCTGAATACCCTGGTTCGATTCCCCACATGGGTACAATGTGTGAAGCCCATTTCTGGTGTCCCCTGCCATGATGTTGCTGGAATATTGCTAGAAGCAGCGTAAAACCATACTCACTAGCTCTGTAGCTCATAGTGTCATTCACTGGGTTGTCTGTGTTGATTTACTGAATGTCATCACACTACTGAAACAATGCATATTTGTGTTAAAAAACAAACCAAGCCAGACCTGGTTTCGATGGTCACATGAACGACCACATTTGATCCAGTAGGGACTCACACACTAGGATAGTCTGCCATACAGACCCTGAAAAAAATATACCCAATGCAGCCCAAGTCTAGAATGTGTGTCTAGATTACTGCAGTTTCTGAAAATGAAGAAAGTCTCTGGACTCCTTTTAATTGTATTTATAATTTTGATTTAAAAGCTTTTATTTTCTGCAAAATATGTTCATTTCAGCGACTAGCTGTTAGTCTGAAAATGAAGAAAGTCTCTGGGCTCCTTTTTATTGTATTTATAGTTTTAATTTATAAACTTTTATTTTCTGTAAAATATGTTCATTTCAGCGACTAGCTGTTAGTCTAACACAAGGACTGCAATGAATCCAATGAGGTGATTGCAATCATCATCACGAATACAGGGTCACAACTATGAATATATTTCACGAATACAGTAACACTTCAAAACTCGATGTTTTATTCATTATATTCAGTCAAATATTAACATAATCAATAATTTGATGTGTTTTGATCATGCTGACAGTGTTAAGTTGTCATGCAAATGACCAGTGATCACATTACCGTGAAATGAAATATATCAGTGTTTACTATAGTCCGTTTGGCTCAAAAGTGGACCGATGAATTGCAATCTAACTCGAAAAACTAATAAACATAAAATACTCAATGAAACGCTGATCATAATCTAAACATCATACCCAATCTGTGAGGTTTTTGCAGAATTTTTGTCCTACAAATAATAAAGTTGTTTAACAAACTATCATTACAATATTGACACAGTTCACTGTTTGTTACGAGGGAGGAGTGCAGAGAAAGGGACAGCCAGGTGTTCGAGAAGCACGTTCACAGACAAAGTTATTTATTCATTAACCTGTGCTGTGCCGTCTCCATCCGTTCTCGAACACCTGGCTGTCCTGGCTGTCCGTTCCATAAAGTGCATCAATCACTTAACTACAATATTGTATTCGGGAATAATTATTTGTATTCGTTACCCAAAATTCATGATATGTATCATATTCGCCACACAGTGTATTCGTTGCAGCCCTAGTGATAACATACACTTTTTTTAAGACGTCACTTCGCCATTGTTGTCTGCCCCCTCGTTATGAAATGTTCCCTTGGTAACCAATGTCACAATGCATGTCAGTCACCATGGCCTTGTACAGTCTTCTGCAGTAAACCGTTTCTTGGTTTGCAGTTGCGTTGCTCAGCTAACATCACTGGTGGAAACATTACGTTTGTGTTTTTTGAGTAATAAATGTCTTAGTTCGACTCACAGTTTAAACAGTGGCACGGTGATGTTCGCAATGTCAGCTTCATCTAGATGTACTGATCTAAACCTACGTTGGTAGTAGAAATGAGGCGTTCATATTTCCCCATATGGTTTAAGTTAATCACCGATGTAGCTAAAATCATTGTGAGAAGATCTTTAATCTGCAAGCGTCCTCGTACTTTAACTCAGTGGAAACCTGATAAGTAAAATTTCGAGGGACTCGCCAAAATTTTTTACTTATCAGGTATTTTACTTATCCAAACTTATAAAAACCTGCAAATGACAACCATATGCATGCATATGTATGCATATCTAACAATGAACAACTTATCAGGGCTGGCCTCCAGTTGTCAGTGTATTGTCAACTGCTTGACGCCAGCGAGCTGTAAGTAGGATGTTTGTTTGACTGGAGACTGACACGTGCCCCTCATGTCGGATTATGTGGTGATCGCTAATTTAGTTATCCAGTCTCTTTTGTTAAGTAATTTACTTCCATGGACCGTGAGAAGACGTTTAGTTAAACGTTATTGTTTACTTATCCGAGTTTAGTTAACCGGACTCTAATAGTGATAATTAATGAATAAAGTTGCCGGGACCAAAGAAAAGTGTTTACTTATCAGGTCTGTTTAGTTAAAGGTCACATGCAACCAAAAAATCAAACATAATTAAAACACAATTATCACTTCTTCATGACATATAATATGCATTGCTGATTATGAAAAAACAAATAAACAAAATTATAAGCGTATAATGGCAAATCAAAAGTGCAATATTTTGTACTTGGGTTTACCTCCCTCGAAACGAAGCAGCCGGGATACCGAACCCAGTCAGAGCGGTTGGGTGTGCACTCAAGTGTAACGGCTGGTTCATTAGCAGATGCCGCCTTCACGGCTCGTGTGTGTATATATAGAAAGTTGGGTTTTGTAAATACATGCTCATTTTTTGTGTATAACATTTTGCAATCAACAGACATCATAACATGTCATGTGTTCAAGTATCACACCTGCCTGTCTGTGTAATTACATAATGTGACAGAGACCGAACTCGGGCCATAAATCAATGCGTTTTGTTTATGGTGTATAGCCTGATTGGTGTTAAGTTCAAATTGCATGTGGTCAGTGATAGCAGTTGTGTATTGAATATTGTCATTAGCAGACAGGCAGGCAGACACACAGGTGTCAATAAAACAAGACATTGAGTTTAGTCTGTGACAGCGACATATCTATATCACAGTTAGAAATTCTGTCAACGCTAAATAAGTGACTCGGTAAGAAGAACGTGGTGAAATAGACAAATGAAATTATATAAACAGTTTATTTACTGTCATAACATACAAAAGCTTGCGCCTGTGAGATATCAACAAACATTAGAAAAATAGCTCACACCAAAGCCTTCACCGAGTATTCACCAGACAGCCCGCTTCCCAAGTTGCGCGAACCTATTTCACTGCGCAGGTGCTATGAGCGCAGCCCAGCTGTTGAAACCCGT